CCAATATGAGTGGCAAGGGCCTTGGAACACAGATTCGGGTTGCCCCCAACACATATGTCCCACAAAGAAGTAAAGATTTAATTGGTTACAGAACAAAGAAAGTCATAACCCAAGCTTACTTCTTAAAATAACATTTAATCATGCTCTGTAAGCCCGATTTAAAAGAAACAGCATGCTATCTGGATAACGCAATGCATTAGTCAAGGTTCTCTAGGGACACAAAATTTAGAGAATGAATCTCTCTCCACACACACACACACACACACTACATACATATATATAATATGTAACATACACATATACATACATACATTCCAGTCTGCATTCCAACTAATCCAACAATGGCCAGCTGTGAATGGAAAGTCCAAGAAGATTGTAGTTTTTCGGTCCCACAAGGCTGGGTGTCTCAGCTGGTCTTCTGTATGTGCTGGAACCCCGAAGAAGGAAGCTCTAATGCCAATGAGGAAATGGACGTGCTAGCAAGGCGAAGGCAAGCAGGCAAAGAGCCACGCCCTTATGCAGGCTTCTAGCAGGTGAGCCACGCCCTTAGATAGGCTTCTAGCAGGTGTGGCCTGTATTACAGGTGTGTCTTTCCCCCTCAGATCCAGATCTAGGGCTGCGTCTTCCCACTACAAAGGTCTGGACTAGGAGTGGATTCACCCACTTCAAGCCAAGCAGAAAAATCCCTCCCAGCTGTGCCCTCCACCGTTTCTGGACTGTAGTTCATTCCAGATGTAGCCAAGTTGAAAACCAAGAATAGCCATCACTTGTAACAACTCTGAGTTTTATTGAAAAATAACGTAACTTTTGACTTTTTTTTTTCCTTCTGAAGTGCCATTCTTAGCTAAAATAAGCAGACTGGATATAATTCTAGCCTGGTGTCCTGAAGGTAAATATTGGTTCTGTAGCTTTCTCTGTGCTTATTTCACATACAGAATCGGTAGAACCTTCATCCATCCGGGCAGTGGTTTTCAAACATTGCTTCAGTTAGAATTTCCTGCAGGTCTTTTGTAAGCACGCAGCTGCCTGGTTCCTGTTTCAGTAGATCAACCAAGAAGACTTAAAGTGCCCCTAGCTGACCCCACCCAGCCCACCTGAGAAGGTGGTGGCATTTCCAGGCACAGTAATGGCAGGCCTGACTGGGGGACTCCTGCCCGCTGGTGGGGCCAGCCCTACCCTAGGAGACTCTGAGAACAAGGTCTTCTGCCTGGGACTCATTCCTGAGAACACTGGTCTGAGTCCCTCCAGATCTGGGAGAGCTAGGGAACTCTACTGCTGGAGGAGTCCATGGCTGTCAAAACAGTGTCCCTCGCTCCTTCTGTGACATGTTTTCTGTGACAGCACCACCTCTCAAATCTTACACACCGAGGAGAGATAATAACTTCCAGTAGAAAAACCAAACCTGTGAGCAGACCACTTACCAGGATGCGCATGCGCTGTACTGAGGCAAAGCTGGTTTTCATTAGAACTTCATTAGCAGATGATTACATTCTGTAGGCAAGAATAAGCCAACAGTAGTGCCTACTAAGACTGTTTCTGTGAATAATCTTTCATCCAGAAAATATAATTTACACTAAGGCAAAACACGTAGAAGCCACTGGAATGAGAATCTTGTCGGCATTATTATCAGTGACAACATCAGAACCAGGGCTGGGTATTTAACTCAAGACTTAGAGCACTTGCCTAGGATATATAAGGTCACAGGTTCAATCCCTGGGACCACAATAAAGAGGCCACTGTGGTTAAAACTTAGTAACAGCTTAAATGTCCATTCAAAGTGGAATTAATTAAATAAAACATTGTAAACAATGTTAGTAGAGAACAATCATTTAAATGATGCTGCCCTCTCTATATATATATATATATTAATTTTAATCTCTAATATACAAACAAAAATAGAAGTAAATCATAAATCTGTGTACTAAATAAAAATAAGTTGTGTTTAACAAACAGGTGTGTACAAACATCCATGAGATTCCTCTGTAGAGTTAGTTATACAGTAGATTGTTCATACTGGTTCTGCCTAGCCAAAGGAACACCATGGTTGGGGAAGGAAGGAGGCATATTTTCTCCATTAGGATTCATTAGGCCTTCTTGGATATTTATATCACCTGAATTAGTTAACCTTTATTTTAAATAAAAAGGTAAAAATCAAGCACTAACTGTAACATGCTTTTAAAGCAGACATTAAGAAAAGGAAGCTGTAGGGGACTCAGTAGTTAAGCGCATACACTGGCCGGGAGGTGGTGGCGCGGGCCTTCAGTCCCAGCATTGGGAGGCAGAGGCAGAGGCAGGCAGGTCTCTATGTTGTTAAAAATCTTCTTTCAGAGTGTCTTTATTAAATAAACCTGCCACCTTATTCCTCTTTCCCTTGTGTTGGGAGAGAGGGAGTAAAGGAGGAAGCCAAAGTGTCCAGGACACATTGTCCCTCAGAACCAAGTGTGCTAAACCACTCATGTATGTTTGGTATCTCAGGTAGCCCCACCCCTTGCCTTGCCGATGTGCAGTACTGGCTTCCAACTTTGATAGGCAAGCGCTCTAACACTGAGCTCTACCCCCAGTATCATCGTTATAAAGCAGATATTATTACAGAGGAAAACCCCGAGGCTCAGGGAGGTCTCTGGAAACTCGAGCTAATTGCATTTCATGCGCACACGTTCTGAAAAATCTGTGGGAAGGTGCTGTGGGGACGGAAAAGACTAATGTAGTCCTTGCCTTTCGTTATGTACAAGATCACTCTGCTACAAGTCAAGACAGAGTGCCGTATGGGAGCTTTAAATTAGAGACGTCCCGGGGAGGGGGAGGGGTGAGTGATGGCTTCACAGAAGGGATGAGATCAAGCAGGATGCGGATGGACGGACGGGAAGGGTGAAGGCAGCAGGCACAGTCTCAGGGATCCTGTGCAGCTCTTCGCTATAAGCGGCATATGCACTATCATAGTTCAGTCTTCTAACCCTCACAATTCTAAGCATCATTGCTCCAGATTTTAGATTATAAATCAACATGTACAGGAGAAACGTCCTTAGCTATCCTAGGTCGGGGCTCTTAAAGCTCTCTCCATTCACCAACCCCCTCTTACAGGAGAAATGTTTATGAACACTTAGATATACGGGGATATAAAATATGTATAAAACCAAACAGTTACTGACAATAAATTGTAAAGAAATTTATTTGGGCTAGCAGGATGGTTCAGCCTGACAACCTAGACTGTATCTCCAGGGGCCATGTGGTAGAATGTGCTAGATAACCCCGAAAGCTGTTCTCCAAGCTCCATACACATGGCATCGACACACATACACACATGAACAAATCTAATTTTGAAGCTTTTGTAATAGAAATTTATTTTAAGGCAACTCTTTAAGGTACATATAATTTGACTGGTTATTTAAAGTGAATGAAATCATTCTGAAAGTGAAAGCAAGCAAAACCCATAGCTCAGCTGGACTGCCTGCCTGCCTCCCTGCCTGCCTGCCTGTGTGCCATGCACAAAGACCTGGATTTGATCCTCAGCACCACATGAAAATAAAGAAACAAACAGAAATGGCCCCCACGGCACATGCCTGTAATCCCAGTATATGGGACAGAGAGGCAGAGAGAGGACCAACTACACAGTGAGTTTGAGGTCAGCTTGGGCTACATGAAACTCTGTCTGAGAAAACAAACAAAACAAAGCAAGCAAACAAACAAAAGCAAAACAAAACAAACAAAACCACGGCATAAATTAGAGAGATGGTTCAGTCGGTGGTTAAAGAACATTTTGCTGCTATGTATCAGAGAGCCAGAGTTGAGATCTGTAAATCACAAACGAATGACTACAGTTCCAGGGAATCTTATGCACCCTACTAGCCACCATGCAAACACACACACACACACACACACACACACACACACATGCACAGATAATACACACCTAAATAAAGTAAAATTGTTCTCTAAAAAAAAGCACAGTTGCATATATGAATGAGACAATTTTTATATGCAGGATTAATTTTCAGCCAACTATTTGATAGTGCATGACATCTTTGCCTTTTTTCAGAGTTATTGGTATTTTCATTTTGTAATCATCAACGAGAATGCCACTTCCAATGGTGCATACTGTAAGATAGCAGAAGTGTGTTTAGGGCCATTTCAGAAACTGTAGAAATTTTATGTCCTAATTCGAAGGCAAATTCATTAGACATTGTTTAAAATGAAACAAGCCAACAATTCAAGTGGCAATATTAGAATCAAACACTCTAAAGTAATACGATTCAAACATATACAAACTGGGTACTTCACTGCTGAGGAATGATCATAGGAAGATACTGTTTTTGCTTTCTGTAATTAAACCACTGTGTTTCTATAAAAGCAGAATGCTATATGTGGACAGTGAAGGCATTGCGACTCATAGCACAAAATAGTCTTGAATCTGAGCCGAAACGTTTGAGGCAGCATCTGTTGGTGTTGTGTGGCGACGAGTTGTGCCCGGTGTGAAGAACACATGTCGTGTGTGCAGAGCCAAGGTACAAGGAGTCGCCTAATATGACACCCGTGTGAGCCGCCAGCGACACCCCACATTCATTGTGTGTTTGATTTTTAATTATTTTTTTGGTCATTGTATGTTCAGAAATCTGTTACCAAATAGTTCACAACCCACATCCAGCTGTGTGACCCCCGGGGGGGGGATGCCTTCGCATTCTCAAAACCCGTGTCACAGATTCACACCTGTCTTCCTTTTTTACCTTTACTATCAAGTTGCCAAGAGAATGCATTGCGTCACATTTCAATCAATATATAGTGTGTGTGCAGTTTGTTATGGGCAAGTACACACACTCATGTGCAAAACTCCTCATCTCTAGTACAAGTATAAACCTCTGGAGACAAGAATCTTTATTTCTTTAGCACCTTCCCCCTCCTTTACCCAAGTATGCTCACATAGAATGCTAAAATTATGGTACTGGATCTACTGGATCGGGGCTCACGAAGCATGCGTAATGTCCCTCTCGTTATTTTATGTAAAGGTTTTATGACAACAGATGAAAGGAAACTATTCGACCACCTCAAGTCACCACATCTGAAATACTGGGTTCCATTTGTTTGGTTTGGAAATCTTGCTACTAAAGCCCGCAATGAAGGTAGAATCAGGGACAGCGTCGACCTGCAGTCACTGATGACCGTAAGTATGGAGTAAACCACAAGACAACGATGCTAGTTAGAACTAAAGAGGACCCTGGATGTAAGAGGTCAGAACAAGAGCTCTGCTCTGTTCACGCCAGATCCCCCAGGAGCCAGGAAGCCAGTGCGAAAACCCACAGTGTGTGGGACAGAGAGTGAGCAAGATGAACTCAGACAGCATGCTTGCTGTTCCTACAGCATGCTCTGCAAGAGGCTTGTAGGAAACAGGCAAAGATTGCCAGGATTGCCAAAGACTCTAAAGAGGCACATTGCCCCTGGGCAATCTCCCCCTGAGCTTAACCCCTCAGCACCTCCCGGCCCCCAAATATGAGTAATCTAAATTTAGATCAGCCTTTCCGTTGCTCCAGGGAACAAAACAATGTCTTGTGAAATAAAAGATCTTAGGATTTGTCAGAGAAATGCATGCAGGGGTGATCTACTGTGGCAGCTCTGAGGAATGCATGCAGGGGTGATCTACCGTGGCAGCTCTGAGGAGTGCATGCAGGGGTGATCTACCGTGGCAGCTCTGAGGAATGCATGCAGGGGTGATCTACCGTGGCAGCTCTGAGAAATGCATGCAGGGGTGATCTACTGTAGCAGCTCTGAGGAATGCATGCAGGGGTGATCTACTGTGGCAGCTCTGAGGAGTGCATGCAGGGGTGATCTACTGTAGCAGCTCTGAGGAGTGCATGCAGGGGTGATCTACTGTGGCAGCTCTGAGGAATGCATGCAGGGGTGATCTACCGTGGCAGCTCTGAGGAATGCATGCAGGGGTGATCTACCATGGCAGCTCTGAGGAATGCATGCAGGGGTGATCTACCATGGCAGCTCTGAGGAATGCATGCAGGGGTGATCTACTGTGGCAGCTCTGAGGAATGCATGCAGGGGTGACCTACCGTGGCAGCTCTGAGGAGTGCATGCAGGGGTGATCTACTGTGGCAGCTCTGAGGAATGCATGCAGGGGTGATCTACTGTGGCAGCTCTGAGGAGTGCATGCAGGGGTGATCTACTGTGGCAGCTCTGAGGAGTGCATGCAGGGGTGATCTACTGTGGCAGCTCTGGCTTGGATGAGGCTAAAATGAGGAAATGGTTTTCAAATTGGGGTAATATTAGATTCCAGTCTCATATGGATAAGTAAAGAGATCAATGATTCCTTGTCCTTCCTGTTATAGATTTTTGTGTTGATATGAGCATTTTCAAGTCCCAATTTGCTAGGTAGAAGGCTTAGCATGTGTTTATGCCTTCTCTGATATCTATAGTAAGAATGTTTTTAAGGAGAGGAAAAAATGCTTGCCTAATTTTTCTACCAAAATAACTAGCAATTGCTTATTTAAGACACTAACCTTCTCAGCTCCCTGTGAGCACTTGGGGCCAGTCTACATGATTTATATTTTTATATTTATAAAAATATGCCCCACATGTCCCCAGTGTCCTTATTTTTTTTTTTTTTTTTCCTTTTTACAAACTGCTCCTTTGTTTTTTGCTTGTTAGTTCTGTTTTGCTTTGGAGACAGGGTTTCTCTGTGTTGCTTTGGAGCTTGCTTTGTAACTCGCTCTGTAAGACCAGGCTGGCTTCGAACGCAGAGATCCGCATGCCTGTGCCTCCCAACCCCCCCCCCCCCCCAGTGCTGGTATTAAAGGCGTGTGCCACCACCTCCTGGCTTCCTTTGCTTTTTCAGTCTCAGAACTTTCCTTTCACAGCAGCCTTGGGGCCAACAAGTTGGCCTCAGCATTTAGTGACACATTCATCCCGGCTGAGGTGTGTGGTTGTGGTTATCCTTTTAGTAAAGCGTGTTTTCATGTTTTGGGCTTAGGAGATGAATCGGTACCGCTCTTGGTGCAGCCTCTTATTTGGCTATGACTGGGTTGGCATTCCGCTGGTTTACACACAGGTACAAAATACTGTGCATGCGGTTGTGGTGGGGGCGGGACAAGGCGGTCGAATGCGAGGCCAATCTTGGGTGTCGTACATCTGGAGCCATCCACCTAGAACTTGCCATCTTTCCACTTAAACTTGCTGGCGGGTGAGGCCTCTGGATCTACCTATGTTCACCCCTTCCGTAGAGTACAGGAACAAGCCTCCACCGTTCCTGGCATTTTATACGGGTGCCTGGACTTGAACTCGGGTTCTCGTGCTTGCGCTCCACGTTCCTTGTTGGCTGAGTTACCGCCCGCCCACTCTGCACCATGGTTCCCCGGGGCAGCCAGCGCGGACCTCTCACCCGGGTTTCCCTCTGCTGCAGGTTGTCACTCTCGCCGTCTACACGTTCTTCTTTGCTTGCCTGATTGGACGGCAGTTCCTGGATCCCACCAAAGGCTACGCGGGGCATGACCTCGATCTGTACATCCCAGTTTTCACCCTCCTCCAGTTCTTCTTCTACGCAGGATGGCTCAAGGTAGCCTTGGTGCCCAGGGCTCTCCGGAGCCCCTCTTGTTCCAAACTCTCCGCAGGGATCCTCTGTCGAGTCTTGGGCAAACCGTTCATGAATAACTCAAAGGTAGACTTGGCGTGTGATAGCTCAGAGGTGCTGCGGTTGCTTTCCCGTCGGGGTTAAAGCAATGGGCAGAGAGGCCGGAGTGCAGCGATCCATTATGCAAAGAGATAAGAAGAACATTTCTCTTACAGCTATCGATTTTTCTTCAAGTCTCTGTGTGCTCCCACTAGGACCGAAAGAATGTAATTAAAGTAGCAATTTTTTTAGGCACAGCTGGGCAGAGGCCGCGACAGCAAAGCATCAGCCTATGAGAGCAGCCCCCAGCTTTAACCCTGTAATAGAAGCTCAGTTCTACTCCACTCTGAAAATCATTTGCAATCCTCTGAGTTGTACTAGCTGTCCCACACATCAACTGCATCCCGTTTTCCAAAAAAAGAAACGCTCGTTGGGACTAAAGCAGAAACACCAGGATTAACGATGTCATTTAGTTTGCCAGGATCTAAAAGCAAGTCAGAGCTGTGACGACAGCTCATTCAGTCACGGGTGTGCAGCTGTGTCTGTCGTCCCCCCCCCCCACCACCACTCCCAAACCTCACAAGACATGTGTGTGAATATATAGCAGAAGCTTGAGTCTCCGTCCTTGAAGTATGTTACAGGGAAAAAGTCAGAAACAACAGTTTCCTTAAGTAAAATCCAATAATACGCCCAAGGAAACTAACAAAACAATTTCCAAATACTTGACCTTCCAAACAGCCATCTGTGCTCAGGCCTTTGGGTTGAGACCAGTTCCCCTGCAAATGCTAGTTCTTTCGCTGGTTAAGTACGTTGCCGTTTTGAAGTATACTCAAGTGACAAACAGCATGTCCTTTAAATGGCAAAAATATTTTTTTAACCAGATGACGGTGATTGTAAAAATCTTTAGCCGCTTTCTGGGAGTGAGGAAGAGCAAGAGAGATTAGTGGCTCCCTTAGAGGGAACAGGGGTTTTACTTTATCAACATAAAATGATCAGCTATCCTGCCAGTCAGTTCCGTTCTGGCTTGTTTTGACCCATCTCCCTTCATCCTGCGGAACTTTTTAATTGTCTCTCTGCTCTGGGGCCTCTTTAAGTTCCTGGCTGAACCATGAATTGGTTAGTGGCTTCTTCCTCTTTTTCCTGGTGAAGTGTCTAAATTCCTTGCCTCTAAACTGCCTGGCTTTTCACACAGGTACTGAGGATTTAAGCTCAGACCCCCATGTTTGCAGCTTAAGCACCCTAACCCACTGAGTCATCTCCCCAAGCCCAAGTGGGTAGAGTTTCCACCAAGTGGCCTCAAGATCTAGAAACTAATCAAATGATATCTTTATTTTGTTCACTTAAAATTTTTCTTCTTAGCTGGGCAGTGGTGGCACATGCCTTTAATCCCAGCACTTGGGAGGCAGAGGCAGGCAGATCTCTGTCAGTTCGAGGCCATTCCTGGTCTACAGGGTGAGTTCCAGGACAGGCTCCAAAGCTACAGAGAAACACTGTCTCAAAGAAAAAAAAACAATGTAATACCCCCCCCCACATACACATGAGCACACACACACGTACACACACATGCATACACATATTCACAAGTTAAAAAATCAAAGAAAAATTGTTCAAGAAGGTTATATTTGACATGAAAGGCTCTCATTTAAAAGGCTATTCCATTAAAAAATGTGGTGAGAATATTTAACATAGACAAAATGTTAGATGATATCTGGTCAGAACCCAGCTAAACGATTCACAGAACTAGAACTAATTAGATAAGGGTAAATCTTTAAGGTGAAATGAGTTGACCCTACCTCTCAGGTGCAACCACTTAGCACTTAAGTCTCAACTGTTTATATGTCTTTTATCGTGATTTGTCCTTCATTGCCCTTTAAGCTCATGTTGTCAACCAGGCCTTTACCAACTGCTTTGAAAGCTCAGACAACATAAGTGCTTTGCGTGTTGATAATGACCACTCAGGATTCACGGGTTTGCTTTGGCTGCACGGCTTCCCTGGTCTAGATGAACAGACAGATCCATGTGCAGAGCATGCCCGTGAAAGGGGCCTGCTTGGTGATAAACATCGGTAGACCAGCCCGCTGCCCTGGAGGCTGCATATTACAGAAGTGGCTGGGAAGGGTCAACCTCGAGTTCCTCCTGGGTCTTCACATGCACTGCTTCTGTGTATCCCGTGTTCACAACTGCAGGTTGCAGAGCAGCTGATCAACCCTTTTGGGGAAGATGATGACGACTTTGAAACGAACTGGTGCATTGACAGAAACCTGCAGGTGAGGAACTTTTCTGTCTTTTGTGAGCAATAAATCACCTGCAAATAGATTCTGGATGCAGGTTCCGGGACGTGAGATCTGTAACCGTGGGCTTCATCGTTCCTTTCTGTACCTAAAATGTCCCGGATCCCATTTCCAGCACAATTAGGCCCATTTTCTGTGTGAGCTTTTGTTGGCATCATCTGTCCGTCCAGTACACAGCAATATTTTAAATCATTTATCTCTCCTACTTTGATTTGTCATCCAGAGAGATTAGCAGTGACATGAACTGAGACCCAGACATAATCTGCTGTGAATCCCTAAACATGACCCACCAGACCCCAGTAATCAGCTGTGCAGGGTGGAGCCAAAGTCACACCGGCTCCCTTCTCACATCTGAATGGATCCCCTTACCCAGAGCAGCGCAGTTCCCGCAAGCTGCTCACCGAGGCGTGAGGGAATTCTCTTTCTAGGGAGGGACCTTCAGGTCCTCTGTCTGAGGACCTTTACCCTATCCGGCTGTCTGAAGCCCTGCCAGTCTGTTGGGGGAGGAAGCATAATGTTTCTCTCTGTGTGTCAAAACTGGATTCCCAGAGGCTTAATGGCTTATTTGTAACTTTGTCTAAGCCAAGGCAGAGAGAGCATCACCGAAACACAGGTCTGTTGGCACACTGCTTTTCCAAATACACAAATGTAGCCAGGCCTGGTGGCATGTGACACAGGTCTGTTGGCACACTACTTTTCCAAATACATAAATGTAGCCAGGCCTGGTGGCATGTGTCTGTAATTTCAGCACTTGGTGGGCTGGGAAAGGAGGAGTCCAAGTTCAAGGGTGGCCTGAGGTACATGCCTGTTTCAAAAAGGAAGGATGGAGAGAGAGACAGAGACAGATAGGGACAGACACAGAGAGAGACAGAGACAGACAGAGGGAGAGACAGAGACAGAGAGACAGACAGAGGGAGAGACAGAGACAGACAGAGGGAGAGACAGAGACAGAGAAACAGACAGAGACAGACAGATAGGGACAGACAGAGACAGAGAGACAGACAGAGGGAGAGACACAGAGATGAGAGAGACAGAGGGAGAGACAGAGACAGACAGACAGGCAGACAGAGGGAGAGAGAGGGAGGGTGACAAGAAGCAGTGGGAGGTAGAGGTGTGTTTGTGGGTTACAGAAGGTGGACAGACAGCGTCCACCTCTCCATGCCCTCTGACAACAAGTGGTGGCTGTCAGGGAGCCACCAAGACAGCACCGTAGCTGGAAAAGAGGAAGGAGGCCCCACGGGGGGGGGGGGGGCGGGGAGCACGCAGGCAGAGGGCGGGCGAGCGGGCCGGCTGTGCGCAGTGTTTGTGAGCAGGAAAGAACAGGCCCTGCAGGGTCCACTCGGACATCGTCCCTTTGTTCTCCAGCTCCCTCCCACCTGCTGGGGGACCCCCCCAATCTAAGCTGCTCTGACAGTGTGACACTGTGACAACGGTTCTAGGTCTCTCTCTTGGCTGTGGACGAAATGCACATGAGCCTGCCCAAGATGAAGAAGGACATTTACTGGGACGATTCTGCCGCTCGGCCACCATACACACTGGCAGCCGCAGATTACTGCATACCCTCCTTTCTGGGCTCAACCATCCAAATGGGGTGAGCAGGCTTTTAAAAATCCTTGATATTTAGGGGAGCACTTAAATATGTGTGCTTGTGTGCATGCATGTGTGCGTGACAGAGGAGGCATGAGCCGTGCTGTGCACGTGGAGGGCAGAGGGCAACTGTACAGTCACTTCCCTCAAACCACCTCTACATGGGTCCCCGGGGTCACACAGGCCATCAGGCTTCCGTAGCAAGCGCGGTTACCCACACACAGGTGCGAATGATCTTGGAATCTACCTTCTGACACACACACACACACTGAAATATGATCATATCCACCCTCCATTTCTCCCTTCAACTTCCCCAATATCTCCCCCAAAACATGTCTCCAACCTCATTTTTTTTTTCCTTTCTCCTCCTTCTTCCTTTCAAAGTCTCATTAACGCTGCCAGTATGTGCACTAGAACAGGGGAACTTACCGGTGATCACATCCTCAAAAAAGAAAGATTCTCCGTCCCTCAGCTCGACAGTTAGGGGTGGGGCCTTAGAAGCTCCACCCCCCGTTTGTGGGGAATTCAGGCTGGCTCTGTCTTGTACAGATCTTGTAGCTTTGACGTAACTGTGTCCCATCGTTGCCTGGATGCCCTCTCCTCTGTTCCAGTGTTCTGGCCCTGACGCTCCTCATTCAGACGGCTAGCCTCTGTCACCCATACCTATAAAGCTTGGCTCCTGGCCAGACAACCCCAAGTCCTCATGGGTAATGGTCTGTGGCACTCCTCCTCAAAAGGGGCCCCTGAACTTAAAAGCCCTTCAAGAGCAAAAGCAGCAGCTGCCTGAAGGTGGCATTTCAGGAGCTGTGCTGAACAATGAGAGATGCAGGCGCCAGGAGACTCATGTAGGTGTCCTCTTGCCGTTACCCGTGACACAAAGGTTAGAGACGATGAGGCATGCAGTAAATGGAAATGAAAGAGAGCCCTGAAGTCTCCCACATCCCTTTAGTCCCGTCACGGAAATCAAAGCAGCCAACAGAAAGGGAGTAATAACCCCTCGAGCACTAACAAGCTGTCCACCATAAATAACAGTTAGAGGGTGCTCCCTGGAGATGAGTGGCTGGGTCTGCTCACAACTGGGCACACGAGTGTGTTAGCAGCGCTTGCTGTCCATGCTGCTGGCCTTAAGCATGCCCAAGCACGAGCCTTCAGACTGTTTGCTACTCCCGTTTAAAAGTCATTATTTCATTGGATTTTTCTGAGGTGAAATGATATACCAATCCTCCTTACATTTCCAGCAATCTAGGAGAACCTATGTGGTGAACAGATCCATTTAGTAGAGAGGAGAAAATAGCCCAGTATGCTAAGAATTCCTTATAGAGAGAAATGGAAGAATTTAAGATTTATTTGTCACTAGGAAACTAAGCCACTGGGTCGAAAATGATGACTCTTGCTTATCCGTCTGTATGCCAGAACTTCTCAACATGCTTACCATACCACAATACCCATTTTACAATTATACAAGTACGCGTCTAGTGTATACACGGGATTTAAGATGGTGCAATAGATAGTACCAGTTCAAATACATGAAAATACGTATTGTAGCAAGCAAAGACCCTACTAAAGGTCATTAAATGTGTTTCTAGACTGGTGTTCTCAGCAATCATGCTTACTTAGCCAAAGACGTTCAAATAGCTTATTTTAGCCTTATAAGAAAATGCATAGTCTGGCATATACAATTGCATACCCATGTTATAAACCACTAAAAATAGCTCAAGTTCTAAATCACTAACTTCTACAAAAATGTGCCCTCGCACGTTGATTTTCTTTCCCTCCAGGGGAGATGAGTGTACACTGGGTTCATCATTTAGAGCGTGGGGACTCTCGGTCTGCCAGCATGGGGTCGGTGACCTTGCTGTTCACGTCTTACCTTTAAATGCTATCACAGGTGTTTGTGGCTTAATTATCTTTTCCAAGAGAACGCCTACAGAGTACAGTAGTGTTCAGGGAGCGGGCTTGACCGTGGGGAAACTAGATATGCCTCAGGAAAGGGGTGGCCGACTAAATTTGTCATAACTCATAGTCTGAGCTCTCAAACAGAGCGCAAAGAGGTGGTGGGAAGGAGGGAGCTGCTTACTGCCTTGCTTTACATGGATTGCTCAGTCTATCTTCTTACAAACCCAGGGCCACCGGCCCGGGGATGGCCCCACCCACCATGGTCTGAGCCCTCCCCCCAGTGATGCTTCCTCAGCTGAGGCTCCTTCCTCTGATGACTCCAGCTTGTGTCACGTTGACACAAAACCACCCAGAGCACACTTCATTTCATTTACGCTAGGATGACTTTCCATCTATCATTGGAATTTAAATTCTCAAAACACCACTTCGAAAGTGGAACAAGCAATGTCCAGCGTGGTGGGGTTTGTCCTTCCATCTTACCCAAGCTCTGTAATTAGTTATATCCTTACACTAACGAGGACAAAGTGGCTTTGAAAATCAAACAACAAAAACACCTCAAATCATGTTGGTCTTTGTATAGCAGATACGCCCTAAGAAGTAGGCGTTGACCTGTGGTCTTTGGAAACCAGGCTCTTACCTCTTCCTTGTTATAGTAACGGTGTGTGTGTGTGTGTGTGTGTGTGTGTGTGTGAGAGAGAGAGAGAGAGAGAGAGAGAGAGAGAAGATTGCTCTGCACTCTGAGCAGGCTACTTAGCAGTACCCCTGCTTATGCCTTTAGCTCTGTGGCTGACGGCCTCATGGGTGTTCAGCAGATGTTTTGAAATGCTGGAGTTTGTTATTGTTTCTCAACGTTGGATATGAAAGTAGCTCCAACTGAGACAACCCTCTGCCCTACTACGTGCTTTCACGCCTGCCCTTCCTCTCTCTTTTGAAGGCAGACTGCATGGAACAAACTTTCTCATTCCCGTGTGTCCCGCGTTGGTGTATGGGTGACTTCCAGAGTTAGCAGTGTCTGACGAATGGCACAAACTTAGTAAATTCCTGTCAGCCCTGGCTTCCCGCAGCTGGATTTCCCAGCTTCTACCAGTCCCTGTACATCCTCTCCACACACACCCAGTGCCCTGGTCTTACCGCTCAATAGCTGCTAAGTCATCCTATCTAAGGTTTTCAACTGTCCGGGGAAGCTCCCAGCTGCCGGGACAGTTTTTACAGATCTCTTTCAAAGAAGAAAAAGGACTATCAGACACACATTATCACTCCCTCGGGCACCAGGAACTACTTCTGAGGGTTGCCAGTGGTTGGCAGAGTCCTCCACAGCTTCGGGTCCTCAAAACTCACGGACACATGGCCACCCTTTTCATCTCCCAGGCAACAAGGGAGGCAGGTAAAAACGTCACAGCTGTCAGTTGACCTCGTGTGATGCTGAGTCACAGAGGGTCACATGAGTCCCTCGGCTTTGCTCAGCTAGTGCCAGCCTGGGCAGCAGCATCCTCACTCTCGAGTTCCTACTGTTGAAACAACGCTCCGTCCCTCTCCGTCTCTGGAAACTCGTGGCTCCCTGGCACTTGAGTGTGGCAAATTCCCGTGCATGTCCCCCCCCCCCCCAGTCTCTCCCGGCCCCGTCCAATGAGTTCTGGAACACGAGCTATCTGTTTCAGCTGGCCGTCCCTGACACAGCGGGACACACCGAGAGTGATCCTGCCCTATCATGTAATGCCCCAGCCATGATTGTTTAAGTGCTGTTATATCTACGCCTCTGGCATGCACTAAAAGTACACTTTAAAAATTAAGTAAGGGTTCAGGTGTGCGCAGTCCCCAACAGGTAACCAGCCCGGTCTGGCGGTGTAATCGCGGTACTTGGGAGGTGGAGGCAAGAGGTTCAGTTTGATCTCCGTAGTGGGTTCAAGAGCAGCCTAAAGTATACCGGATTTGGCCTCGTTTTTTTATGAGATATGCTTTAATCTTCAGGGCATTCTGTTCCTAAGCTGAGTTTCTACATATCAGAAACAAGAGCAGGGAAAATCGTGACTGTTAGAGTGAATGTCAGTAACGGTCTGTCTCTGGTGCTGGCACTCAGAAGAAAGGGCATTCCCCCGGTAACACCAGCATTGATGTTCACATAGCTTTTCCTGTGCGGGCAATACCAAAACCACACATTTTCAGCCTGGAGGACGAAGTCCAAGCCCTCACAGCATACTCCAAGACCATCATCCCAGCCATGACCGATGCCGTTCTGTTTTATGCCACCTCAAAAGCACGCTAATTCCTGCTGCCTTATTTATCTGTCACACCTTCTTTCTCTGTGCGGTTCCAGCTCTTCATGGGAAATTTGCCCGGCACACAAGCTTCATTTCAAATGTAGATATTCATATTCATGCCTTCTCCCTCCTTTAAAATTGTAAGTAATAAGGTATATGATGTAGCAAATTGTCCACGGTAGAGGCTCGGTAAATCTAGCAGTGTAATTTAGCAGCTGCATGTCGTGTGTCCGCACCACAGTCTTATGAGGCCGGGAAGTACCAATGGGTTTCCTTGGCAATCTCCCCAGTGAGGCTTGGTTAGCGGAGCCTTTCCTGCCTGCTCCCTTGCTTGTCTCGTTTTCTGCAGTCTGACAAGGGGGCTTATTGTGTGCGATGGAGGTGAGGATACATCTCCATTGTACAGTTGGGGCCTTTTTTCCATTTTTACACTTACTTGGTGTGTGCGTTCACACGCCAGCATCCATGAATGCGTGCACATGCATTTGTGTGGGTGTGGTGAGCATACACAGGCCCACATGTATATGTGGAGGTCAGAGGATAGGTTACCAATACCTGTTCTCTCCTACCATGTGGGCTCCAGAGATCAGGTCATCTGGATAGGGTAGCAAATACCCTTTTGCACTGAGCCATATTTCTGACCCAGTTTGTTTTATTTGTTTCTTTTCCTTTTGAGTCACAACGTTTTGAAATAATAGTAATACATACGTTTGGTTTTTGGTTTTTGTTTTTATCATAGAAGACCATGATGTCCCACTTACCAGGTAGGGCGCCTTTAATGTAGTTAAGGGGAAAACCCCAAAATAAAAAGTCAGTGTCCCAAGTAAAGGGCACATGCCTGTCCTATAAAGAGAAAGTGCCAGCTTGCCCTCAAGTCTCGGAGCACCTCCAGTGTGCCAGTCCCCGTGAGCAACTGTGCTTGTCCATCCTCTGTGAACTCCCTAGCTAAACGGATGGCTGTGAAGTGTGACTAATTAGGCCCTGTGAGCTGACCTAATGAAACCCAACCAGCAGGGTCACTGAGGCCACCAAACCATGAGTCGGCATCTCCCAGGGCAATGTAACAGGATCTGGAGGGGGAGGGACAGGAGACTATCCGGTGGCCAAGGACACCACTGGAGCTTCCGAATAACAGCAAGAGGTTGTGATCCAGCTCCATCCCAGGACAATTTTTCCTGGCACTCTTCTGGCTCCACCCGCACTCTGCCAGCCTTTACCTATATGTCACAGAAAACGCACCTAGCATAGGACATCTGGTCGACCATGGATGTAATTACCAGCCCTGGACAGGCACAGCAGGGTTGCCGTTGCTCCCTAAGCCAGCATGAGCAACTGGCCTTTCAGGGCAAGTGTTTAAGTTGTTCCCAGCCCCCATTAAGGCTGAAGTTGATGGAGATGTGAGACGACAACCCTGGAGTCTAAGGCAGGAGTAGACCTCTCCGCCAAATGGGCTTCGTTAGCTCATTTTACTTAAGGCTTGCAGGAGATTAAAAGAGTAGACTCATTAAGTCAGCATTTCAGTGGGAAATCCTTAGCCACGGCAAACCCTTCAAACCTACCAGGGGACCCCAAGCACAGAGAGAGACCACCTCACCGACACACCTCCTTTTCATGGTGTGCCGACTTCTCCCTCAGTCCAAACTGAGTAGCAGAGATGTCAGGCTTTTACGAGGCATGTCTCAGTTCCTTCCCAATTTTACTCATTGTTCTGTTCTGAGCTCTAGCATTGGAGTAAGACTTCTGTTTTGGCCTCACAGGCGTAATGAATCTCCTGGAGCTCAGTAACCTGTCTGTAAAGTGTTGGTAACGACAGCAATATGAATTGACATCGTTACCTCCACAGCTAAATGAGCCTTAGCTGTTGCTTGCATCACGCCCCCTTTGGCATTTGCTGTGGGAGGGGAGGGGCACACATGCCGAGGCGCATATGCAGAGCCACAGGTATGGAGGTCAGAAGACACTTGCTAGTGTCTGTTTTCTCCTTTCACCTTTGCTCGGGGTCTTGGGGTCATATTCAGGTTGCCAGGCTTACGCAGCAAGCACTCTGCCCACGGAGCTGTCTTGCCGGTGCTAATATTCTCTAGAGTTTAGCCATGCCCCATTACTTTTTATAGATCTAGGGGAACAGTGGGTCCTGGGGAAATCTGTCTTCATTTCAACCCAAATAAAAGCAAAAGAAGCCATGTTTTGCACAGTATATACTAACATTCAAGTTTCTAGATCAGAAGTGTTTCGAGTGTGATCTGGGAACCCCTTGAAGGTCTCCAACACTCTGGAAGGGAATCCGTATGGATAAAACTAACTTCATCATAACATTATGGTTTATTCTTTGATTTGTGTTCTTTTCTAAGCGTATGAAAATCCCTCTGATTTGCTGTTTTACTTCCAACTGCAGTTGTGTAGTCAACCATAGTCCAAAAATATTAAATGGAAGGTCACAGAAGCAAACAATTCGTATATTTTAAACTGCATGCCATTCTGAACAGTGGAATGATGTTTGGAGCCATCATACTTTATCTTCCCTGGTCTGTGAGTCAGCCCTATGTCCAGTGCATCTATAGTGCATGCCCTACCTGCCCCTCACCTACTAGCCAACTCAGTCATCAGAGCAACAATGCTTATGTTCAAGGACACCTTAATTTATGAATCTATTTAACACACAAGAGTAGTGATGCTGCCAGGTGGTGGCGGTGGCGGTGGCGGCGGCACACGCCTTTAATCCCAGCACTTGGGGGACAGAGACAGTTGGATCTCTGTTAGTTTGAGGTCAGCCTGGTCTACTGAGCAAGTTTCAGGACAGGCTCCAAAGCTACAGAGAAACCCTGTCTCGAAAAACCAAAAAAGTAATGATGCTGGTGTATTTGGCTATGTCTAAGAGAAGTTGCAAAATGTGTCCCTTAAGTGAAAAATGAAAGTTACTCATTAATGAAAAAAAATATACTGTTTATTAATATGGAAAAGGATGAGTCTCCTCCTCGTGCTATTGTTAAGAATGGAAAAACAGCCCATGCAGGTTTTGCCGTCATACTTGATGCTGCAGAAGTTATGGCTGGGTAGACAAGATGGCTCAGCTGGTAAAAGCACTTGCCACACAAGCCTGATTGATGACCTGAGTTGGATCCCTGGGACCCACAGTAGAGGGAAAGAACTGACTCCTCACCAGAGGTCATTCTACAAGCATGCCATGGCACATGGTTGCCTGCACTCGCACACATGCAACACAAAATAATAAGATTAATTTTAAAACAAGTTATGGCCACAGCCAAGCACGGCGTCACATGCCTGCAACCCTGAAACGGGAATTGGAGATGAAAGGATCAGAAGTTCGTCATCCTAGGCAAAACTGCAAGTTTTGTGGCAAACCTGTGATAATGAGACTGTCTCTAAACAAATTAATAAGGGTATAGCTACGTGTGTAGCATGTGTTTAGCTAACACAACAGGGAAAAGGCATTACCATCAATCTGGGAATCCACTGGAGATCTTGGAATGTAGCTCCCGAGATAAGGTGGGGACGCCTTCTAGTCAGCGGACTTTCCTAGAGGCTACTAGATATATGACGATGTCATGGCCGTGGCGTCATCCTTAATGGCGCATGCGCTCATACACTCTTGCCTTTTACATTCCTCGGCTATCATTTTGTATGCGTAAATAGCAGTTGCCCTAGCTCGGCTTTTGACTTAGAGACCGCCCTCAATGTAGCCCTACAGCTACTCTGTCTTTTGTCCCGTGCTTCAGGCTGGGGTCCGAGTTCCCTGCGGAGGACTGGCTCTGGAACTACGAGAAGCATGGGCCCCGGCACTCGGTGATGAGGAGAGTCAAGCGCTTCCTGAGCACCCACGAGCACCCCGGCAGCCCCAGGAGGAGGACTTTCGGCAGGCAGGCCAGCGACAGCTCCATGTTCTTCCCCCCCAGCCCAGCTCGGGATCTGCTGGATGTACCCTCGAGAAATCCCCACGGAGCCTCACCCAGCCGGAAGCAATCCCACTCCCGAGAGGGTAGCCCTAAGCTGCATTCCAGCATGGGAGAGCTGTCCACCATCAGGGAGACCAGCCGTACCAGCACATTGCAGAGCCTGACCCCGCAGTCCAGCGTGAGGGCCTCCCCTACCAAAATGCCCCGGGTCCCCGAGGTCCTGATCACAGCGGCCGAAGCCCCCGCGTCCTCATCAGACGGCCAACCGCATGACTCCGCTACCTCCATCCTGAGCCTCGAGTTCACCGGGGTGCAGCCTAGCAGGACTGAGCGGCAGGTAGACCCCGCAGGGAAGGCGACACCACCTGGGGACCCCAAGCCCCAGGCTGTTTCCACCAGTCCTGAGAGAGACTTGTTCAAGTTTGAGGAGGACCTGGATGATGACAGATTCCCGCAAAGGTGGAGCCTTCCGGAGTTACGGGAGTCCAGGCACACCTCCCTGGGAAACTTGGCTCCAGACCCTATGGGCCCCAGGGCTGCTCTCTTACTTGATACGGAAACATCCTCGGAGACCAGCAGAATCCATCCCGGGGCTGGCTCTGGACTCTCTCCTGACATCCTGTACTTAATGGAAAGCTTGGATGCTAAGGAAACAGACATCCTGGAGTCTAACAACGAGCACCCCGAAGAATCCCCTCAGGGAACCCGGCAGCGCCCCAGGACCTGGTTCTAGTTCACCTTCCTTCTTTACACAGAGCTGTGGATACCAGCCTGGGGACAGTGTCCCCCACCCCCGGCCCACAGGAGATGGCCACTGTCACAACCACGTTGTCTAGCTATTGCAAAGGGGCTTTCACAGAAGTTGTGTGGCCCAAACCGAATGATCATAACGAAATAAGGGATGTTGTATAAATATGCACAGCTTATACATGATTAGCTTTGGGAAGGGCCACACAGGTCATAGTCCAAGCCCCAGACACAAAGAGTCCAGTTTCCCTCCTGGCTCACTCCAATACCTCCCTCCCTTTAGCTACAGAGACAAGGCTAGACCATGCCATGCCCAGAGACCCTTTAGCTATTCAGCTGGAACTTCTTGGCCACCTCGCTCCTGCTTTCTGTAACTGTTATCACCATCCTTCCCTAACTGTGAAACTTCCTCAGCATCAGGAAGTTCCCTTTCCCTTCAGATACTGTTTCTGTTGTCTGCTCTTTGTCTGTCTCTCTTCCTCCTTGTCATCCGCTTACATCATCCCTCTGTCCTTTTTCCTAGGCTAGCTCCTCCAGTGATTCTAATCGGCCCCTCTTTCCAGGTATAACATTTTCTCTTTCCAACTCTGTTGCTTACTCCCTCCCCGCCCATCCTGGTCACGGTGTTCAAACCATGCGACGCTGGTAAAGACGGGTGCAGGGATCTACACACACACACACACACACACACACCGCACTTCCAGCCTTGCAGTGAAATCCACATAGCCCAACTGCTACATCACCAAAGGACGGCGTGGTTTGGATCTGCTGAACTCACACACAGTCTTAAGAAAAAAAAAAAAATCCCAAATGTGTCACAGCGTGGGACCAGTTACTGTGCCTGTTGGGTTGATTTATGTGAAGCAGGGCATTAGAGTTGTATGAACAGCTTCCTTTGCCTTTCGGAGCGCCATCCTTTCCCCGTCATATGGTGAAGCTTGGCATGTGGCTTCAGAAGCGAGAGGCTCTAGCAGTGACCATCGGTCGACTGTCTCGGTGGCCCGTGCAGCTGCATCTGGAGTCCACAGTTGAGTCCACACGCCTTGCGAGGGAAATAGAGGTGCCGGGCAACTCATTTCCCTGAGCTCACACACCCAGGTGTAGCTTGCTCGGGAGCCCGCACCGCCTCGAGGTGGCCCTGGAGGGCCCTAAATCTGCTAGAGGTTTGTGCCAGGCCCCTTCAGCCCAAACAATTGTCAGTCTCAGAGAACAGCAGAGCTTTTTGTCTTGGAGTTCTTGCCATGGTCCTGTCCTTGTCACTCTAGAAGCTGGCAGGAGCCTCTTATTGCTTCCCGTACTTCAGAGTCCTGATGGGCCCTGCCACAGTGACCACAGTCACACAAGGCCTCAGATCTCAACAGGCCTCTTAAGGGGCAAAAAGCAACGAGTCCTACCTTAATGGCTTTTCCTAAAGGACTAAAGCGATACGCCATTAAAAGAAATGCTGTACATGGATGGCCCACACCATTAACTCCCAAGAAAGGGCTGTAGTCCCCAAACCATCACAGACAGACAGACTATGGGCCAAGCCCCATTGTGAGTTTCTAAAAGATCAGAGTCCCAGCCTTTCCCCAGCCATCATTGTCTTCACGCACCTCTCTTGAGTGCTTCAGTATGAGCCTCTCTGTCTGCTTCTCGTGGGCTCTATCTACGGCCCAAATATCTATAGCGGTCTTCCAAGTGTAACCAATTTCATTCTTAGAGCCAAAGCTGTCGACTACATACGGAAGAGTGGTTTTATGGAGATGGGAAGGTGCTCATCTATCTATTCCTGCTCACCTCTTCTCCACCTTCATTCCTGAGAATTGTTCAAGCTCCCCGATGCATCTTCAAATCCTGAGGTGGCTGCCCATTTTCTCTTCAACGACTTGCTCAATGAGCCAAAATGAGGAGATTTCCCATTCTAAAACAAGTCTTCATCCTGCATGGCCAGGGCTGAAAAAATAAAAGGATTTATTCTCTTGTGGCTGGTTTTTTACCTGCCTGCATCATTTTCTCCTGAGCTCTAGAAAATTCCACCTTTTAGACAAAAGTCATATGTCTCCTCAGCTCAGTCTTCAGGGTCTGCCCTATCCATGAGCAGGCTTATTCTAGCCCTGTGCTAGTATAATCTGCACGTCAAGGTGAACAGTGAGGCCTTACCCTTGTGTGTTTTCTCCTGGCTCTTACAGACAGCTGTGCCCTGACTCCGGAGTTCAGTTTCAATGCAGTTAAAGCTCACCAACTTCTCCTCTCCTGTGCACGCATTTAGAGCTGCCTGGCCCTCTCTTCCCTTCTTCATTGTCCCATCTACTCAGTCCATTCATTCTTTTACTCTGGGCATTCACTTTTGGCCTTGTTTAGCCAAGTGATAGAAAATATAGATGTCTCCATAGAATGGAGAAGTAAAAAATTTACCATCACTACAAAGAGAAATCTATGAATTGCCTCTGAGCAGCTTCAAAAGCTTGAACAAAGCCAGGTATGGTGGCACATACCAGTAACCCCAGCACTCAAGAGGCTGAGGCAGGGGAATTGAAAGTTCAAGGTCAACTAGGTGGACATGAGGTCTAGGGTCAGCCAGGGTTACATAGCAAGAGCTTACTTCCAAAATCCAACCAAAACAAGCAAACAACAAAACTTTGAAAAAGGCAGGCAGGCAGGGCAGGCGGGCAGGCAGGAAATTAAACAGACCCATGTCATTCCAGCCATCAGGGTTCCCATCTACAGTATGGCTGCTCTCTGGAAGGTGTCACAGCTATTATTAGCCACCACAAGAGTCAAAGGGAAGGTTGGGAACCTCAGATTGTCCAATGTGCATGACTGTGGATGGTGCTCCCAGGATCTGCCACCAAGTCCTCTTCTCGCTCTGATTATCTGCTTCAGAGTCCCTTTCATCTCTGCGACGATAATCTTTTTCATTTAGGAAGGTCATCTAAGAGTCACAGTACTAACTCCGACTTGACTGTTTTGTCTCTCCTTTTGAACTTTTTTTTTTTTTTCTTTCCTGATACTTCTCAACTTCCACCATCTTCCTTCTCTCTGGCATTTCTCACCATTCCTACACACACACACACACACACACACACACACACACACACAGCATCCCAGGGTACATCACCACAGCTATGAATTTCCCATCTAACTCATTTCGTGCATCAATTCCCCGCCCCCCCCCCAGCAAAATGCAGAACCAGAATAAAACTTAATTGCATTTGCTCTCTCTAAAGAGTTCAGAACACTGAGTTCAAGGTTGGAAGGCTGCCTTAGGACATCTGCTCTCCCCAGAGCTGGTCCTATATCAGCTGATTAGGAGTAATGCAAGTGTAAAACCGAAAACAAACCCCAAAGCAGGAGCAAATCAGAACCTAAGTCCACCTGCCGGCCCCTCATCGCAACCATCTAACTCAATGGTCAGCAGCAAACACTGATGCCTGTGCCGCTGATGGACATACGCTGGAACTTGTTTTCGTTTCGTTTTTGTTTTTTAACTGAACTATCCCAGGCAGGTTCCTCAAGTCTTCCCACACTCTTTTTCTCAATTCTGTGAACCCAATTTTTAGGACAGCTTTCCCATTGATAAAGCCACGGAGTGGAAAGAACCAATTGAACAATGCCAGGATTCTTTGACTGCAAATCTTAAAAAATTCCAGAAGACCCCAATCTACTGGTGAAGCTTCAGAACTATGACCCAGCTTGAGTTTTGTTCTTGAATCATGTTCTAAGCCTCCCTCCAGCATCCCCAAATGTACAGTCAGCATGACCCTGGCTGTGGCAAATACAAAGCGAAGGAGATTCCCTACAAAGACTCAGTTGACTCAGGCCAGAGGTTAAATATTTGTTTGGTCTTCTTTGTTTCGGAACTGCTTTAGAAAGTGGGCCCAAATCTGCCTGGTGCCTCAAGTGGGTTCAATTAGATGGTTCCATAGAACCATCTTCCATGAGCTTCTAATTTGGGACAATTGCTTACCAAAGATGAAAAAGGCAAGTGCATCTTGAGGCCTGAAAACAAATAAGACATTTCTAAAACTGATTTTGTGCAGAAATGCTATTCTGCTCCAAGTCCTTTGTCTAGGCTACTGGTTCTCCACCACATGTGATCTTGTACCCAGGAGACACTGGGTGGTGTTGACATTTTTGGTCATCATACCAGAAGAGTTATTGACATGCAGCAGCAAAGGCCAGGGTACACTCCACAAACATCTGACCCCAAACACTTAGGCATAAAATCCTGATTTAGACTAAAAGAAGGTACAGATTAATATATATAGTTATATACATAATATATTACTATTATGCATATTGACATATGCATAATATGTTAAGGAGATTAGTGGTTAGAGAGGAACCAGAGAAAAGAATAGAACTTGAGAGAACAAATAGGCATTGAATTTGACTCCAAGGCTCACTGGGATATTTTTCCATTTTTTACCCTACAGGTTCTTTGGGCGTGGCTTGCAGTTAAGTATTTTTGTGGGATTTCTGAGTGTGCTAACAACTGTGTCTCAGTCGACATCTGTTTCTTGTGCCTTTTTTTCTCGGACTGTTCGTTTGTTTTGTTCTATTCCGATGTGTTAGTTTTTGCTTTATCTTATTATATTATTAACCCTTAAAAGCCTGTTTGTCTTCTGATGAGACAGAAAGGGAATGGATCTGGATAGGAGGGGGAGTCATGGAGAGAGCGAGAGGATCATCAGGGTATATTATATGGTAAACATTCATTTTCAATAAAAGGGGGAAATATTCAGTCCCCTCTGACCTTAATATGGCCAAGATTAGGATGGGGGGGTCTACCAATAAATTCTGTCTTAAGAATAAAAATAAATAGATAAAAACCCGTCCTGGGAATTGGTGGCACATCTGGTTTGAACAGCATGTGCCCTCCTGCAAGTGGCCAGACCAGCTTCTGCTTCTGAGCTCTGAAGGTGGTTTCTCTCTAAACACTTAGCTGGAGGCTTCCAGATCAGCAAGCAAGGAGATGGTAATTCTACCTTCTCACACCTGTCTGACATCTATGAATCATAATGGCTCATGGTGTGGTGAACTCCCAGGCCAGGAATGCCCCCTGGTGGTCACACAACTGAAGCCAGGCCATCCCCTGCCCCGTAGACATTATTTTACTGTTGATCATGAATAAGCATTTAGTACCATCCAAATGTGTAATCAAAATCTTACTTAGATTGTACCCTTTAAGACTCACACAAATTCTATGAAGTATGCCATCTTGAAGTTTACACTCCAGTTTTCTCTGAACATGCAGTCTCACCTTAAATATTTAAAAATATTTTTAAAATACTTTATGTGTATGAGTGTTTCACCTGTATATATGTGTTATACCATGTTCACGCCTGGCGCCTGAAGAAGAGGATGTTGGATCCCCTGGGACTGGAGTTACCAACATTTGGGAGCTGCCATGTAGGTGCTGAGCTGGTGCTCCCAAACCCTGAGCCATCTCTCCAATCCAAAAAAGGTCCTTCCCGCAAAGAAAGCACTTCCCCCTCTTTGGCCCACGACTCTTTTCTGACTCCCACAGATTCACATTTCCAGCAGCAGCTGTTTCCTGAGACATCCAGGGTAGCCTCTCTTGGAGTTTGTGCCAGTATCGCATTGGCATCCCAGACTGCTCGCTGTAGGAGAATGCCCAGAGACATCCAGGGTTACTAAGGAGACTGTGCGGTACAGGTCGTGTGGGACAGGTCACGGGCATGTCTCCAGGCAGGTGTTCCAGAAGGGGCAACTGGGGACATGGAAATGGCTCACTTCCAGGAGTGGTTACTAAACGTCTGACCTCAGGCTCAGAGCTTGGTGAGCCCTGAGCTGGAGAAGTTCAGGGTAACATTGGGGTATGCCAGCCATACGCTGTTACAGGTAAGGACTGAGGGATGCTGGCAGCCAGGTTTGCTTGACACGTGAAATAGGCACCTCAGCCATTTGTCCTAGACTTGAGACGGAACAGCAAGTCTGGGGAGCCCTCCTGCCTGCCTGCCCACTCCCCTCCACTCCAGTCAGCACAAAAATATGACCACATGGAGGGTAGCCATGATGCTGAAACTTGGTCCCAGAGCCTCCAGCACAAGGTGTTAACCCTCCCATCTTCATCTGAAAACAGAATGTTACTAGTGTCTACTGAGGAGCCTGGGCGTGTTCAAATGATGTGGTATAAAAAAGCTCTCAACATGGTGTCAGCTATTACTATTAAAAATAACCATAGAATCTAGGCCCAAATGGAACATCATTTTTGCCAGGAATCTCAAGTGTTTCCTACAACAGAGGTCCAGTCTAACCATGCCATACTTGTGTGTGTGTGTGTGTGTGTGTGTGTAAACTGGACCTGTTCGATGTGGTTGTGAATTACTTTATTCCTCAGGTCAACCCAATGATAGAGGTGCCTCTGCTTCTGTATTTCACAAAGCAAGGCATGTGAATGACACACCTCAGACCATTAGAGGCAGGGCCGGTGCTGCAAAGGCCTTGGGTTTAACTGCAAGTGTTAAAACAACTGCCGTGTTTATATGTGCTGTGGAAGCCAAGACAGTATACAGCCACCGTGGAAGTTTGGGAGATGGGTGGGTTCTTCGAACACCAACTGTGCTCCGCTGTATAATCCATCAACACAAGCCCGGAGTTCAATCCCCAACGCCACAAAAGTAGGTACGTTTTCAAACTTGAAACAAAAGCAGGAACTCAGCTCCAGACAGCATCCCTTTGAGCAGTGTGCTACAGCAGCCCACGATTATAAACAACTAGGATGGAAAATCCAATGTTTGGTAGAACTTTAAAATGTGTGTGTGTGTGAGAGAGAGAGAGAGAGCGAGAGACAGAGACAGAGACAGAGAGAGAGAACTATGGACACCCCGCAGCTTGCCACCCCAGGCTGCTGGAGCCACTCCTGCCTCAAATGTGGCAACTGATAGCAAACACCTAGCCTGCTGATTAGAAAAGCAGCCGTGAGCCATCTGGACACTGGGAACAGAAAGCGCTATCGGCAGGCTCATCACAAAGCCGGGGAAAGCTCTGTCGCCCAGGGTAGCCTCCACTCTGGCTGCCCTGGCTGATCAGACAGAGGTGTTCTTTCCAAGGCTGTGCTTCTCATCAAGGAGCAGGTTGGTTCCTGGACCACTCTCCAAAACAAGCAAAACCCAAAAGGCCAGCTAGGGGAATTCTGGGGCACACGCTTTGTGCCCCAGGAAGAGAAGCAAGTGTGCACGCAGGTAAATACCCACCCCCAGAAAGGGGGGAAATGAAGAATTGCGCGCTTGCTCCCAGGGGGAGTAATTGTGGGAAACGGTTAGGGTGCGTCCCTCGAGACTGCAGGTGTGACGGTGAAAACGCACGCCAGCAGCCGCTCCGCCTCCGCCTCCGCCTCTCTTTGTCCCGGAGATCCACCGAGCCGGCCCCGCCCCGCCCCAGCCCCTCCCACACCGCGGCGACTTCCGGTCCCGCCCCGCGGCCCGCTTCCGGCCCCGCCCCGCGGCCGGGCTGTCGTCACGTCCGCCTCCCTCTCGCCTGCCGTCTCCTCGGCGCGGCTTGCCCGGAGTTAGTCGTCGGCTGCGCTCAGTCCGCGGGAACCATGGTGAGCCCGGCTTTCCGGCCCCGGCCCCGGCCCCCGCCCCGCCCGGGCCGCGGCTGCCGTGCGGCCGGCCCCTGCGCCGCCTGGCCCGCCTGGCCGGCCGCACATGGCCGGGCGTGAGGCCTGCGCCGCATCCGCGCTCCGGGCGGGGGAGGCCGCGAGGGGAGCACGCGCCCCCCCCCCCGGCCCGCAGCGCCGACCAAAGCCCGCCCTCGGCGGTCAGGGGGGCCCGGCGACCCCCGCGCTCGCCCCGGGCCGCGCGGAGAAGCTTCTAGGACTCCTGGCAGCCCCGCCCTCCGCGGGGCCGGGGCGGGGCCCGGGAAGACGGAGGGTGGGCGGCCGCTGCCCGCCGCGGTAGTGCGGCCCTGCACGCCTCCCGATCGCTTTACCCCCGGGCCGCCCCCCCGCCGTCTAAACCCTGCAGCGTGACGGGCGCCCTGGATGGCGTGCAAACCGAGTGTCCCCGGCTCCCTTTTCAGGCGTCCCTCTCCCTGGCCCCCGTGAATATCTTCAAGGCCGGAGCTGATGAAGAGAGAGCCGAGACAGCTCGCCTGGTAAGCCCGTTCCTTCCGCCTCTTGGGATTGGCAACGGTTGTACTTCACGACGCTAAGTCTTTGACCGCCTTTTCTGAATTTTTTTTTTTTTTCCTTTCTTCTCTTTCAAGTCATCCTTTATCGGTGCCATCGCCATTGGAGACTTGGTGAAGAGCACTTTGGGACCCAAGGGCATGGTAAGGAAACCTGGGGAAATTTTCCAAGTTTGTTCGCAGGCTTGTTTCTTCTAGTTTTGTTTTCCTGAGATGTGGTCTTGCGTTGCAGCGGCCTGGCCAAAAACAAACGTTTTGAAAACTGAGTAAAGCCTTTAGGCTGATGTAGTTAGTAACAATTTTGTTGTTGCTTTGCGGTCTAAGACATTAAATTATTAAAAATCAAAAATGGAAAAAGTTCTCCACCTGTATCGCCATCCCCAACGGCACATTGCTGTCCACTGGCAGCAGGTGTTAACATTTATACACAGAACTCTAAAATGACTTTTTTTTTTTTTTTTTGGTGTCCCTATTTTAAACTTCTGACATGCATACATTGTTTTTATAGCCTTACAGCCCTCCCCCCCCCCACAAACTATCTCTTACAATGGTCTCTCTTCTGCTCCGGCCCTCTGCCTCTCAAATATACACAAACCTTCCCACCCTTGCAGAGTACATAGACACTTGCTAAGAATGGCCTCTGCCCCTGTTGCTTCCACCTCTAGAATTCTGTGGCACTGTCCACGGATGCCCTCTGGTCTCCTGTGCCCATGACTAAATCTAACCAGCTCTGGGCTCTGCTCTTTCAGTCTCTTGATCGCCTCCTACCATTTATTCCCACCACTTCCTCAACTCCTAACTTAGAAAGGGCTCTACTGTCCCGTCCGTTGTCTCAGGTCTTTTCTCCGAATTTCTCTTTATCAAAACTCATTGTTCACATTCCTTACCTCGACTCCCATACTCACCTCTTTCCTTAATATTCTCCTGTCTGCCTTGGATCCTCTACACTCCCTCAGAAACTCCCCAGACCTCTTCCCCATCCTTCTCATACACCAGAGTGTCCTCTAGCTCTTTCTGCTCACACTTGTTAGAGATGGCAGCTCCTTCCTGTCAGGTGGCCGCATCACTCTGACCCCTCCATTATTGATACCGTGATCACCTGTTCCACACAATGTGTCTCTTCTCGCTCACCTACTTTTCCTCTGCCCAAGTGATTGCCCAATACCTACTGCCCCATGACTCCCCTAAACTCATTAACTGTCCAGATGTCCTTAGATACCAAACACTGAACAAACCCCGCATTTTCAGTGTCAAGACTTCAATCTTATTTCAAGACTAAATCCAAGCTGTCTCCTCCCTCCCTCCCCCCCCCCTCTCTCTCTCACACACACACAGATACTTTATGCCCAAGCCCTCCTTGGGTCAGGGTCACCTGACGCCTCCCTCAGCGCCTCCTCCCATTGCTTTCTTTGAGCCTGTCTTCAACATCCTGTGTTTGTTGAACTCCCTCTTGTCGATTTTTGCCAATTTTTTTAAGTTGATCTTTTAACTATCATAAGGAGGATCCCATTATTGATGATGGTCTTTAAAAATACATGATTTTCCTTTAGCCACTATATAGTGTTCTGGGGTTTGCTTTTGACTTTGTTCATGGACATTTGTTTCCGTTGTTGTCTGCCATGGTGCTGTAGCAGAACTAGTTTGTGTTACCCGTACCTCTAAGTTTTTAGGCAAACATTGAGGTTCGGTTGTAGGATACGATACATACATTAAAAATGTCTGGTGGCCAGGTAGCCACCCAGAGTGTTGGAGATCACAGTGCACAGCTGCAGTTACTGACTCTGGGTGTTCTTCAAAGGCTCTTACTCCTTAATTTAACACACATCAATTTCTCTTCAGGACAAAATTCTTCTAAGCAGTGGACGAGATGCCTCCCTGATGGTGACCAATGATGGTGCCACCATTCTAAAAAACATTGGTGTTGACAACCCAGCAGCTAAAGTTTTAGTTGGTGAGTCTGCTCATCTGTTTTACAATAACATTTCTTTATGGCTTGTCTCAACTATTGAAATTTTAAATTGTAGCCATCATTTACTGTTGTTGAAATGAATTTCAGAAGTGTGATTAGTATCCACTTGGAGCTGCTGCAACCACGCACTAGGTAGTTTTTAAATGACACAGTCTGTTTGCCTGAACCCTGAAGGCCTAGAGAGTGCAGGTCGGTAAGGTCCTGTTTGCTGTGTCATAACATGGGTGAGGCAGAAAAAGATGTGGGATTGAGTGTCCATGAATTTGGGAGAGCATGTTCGAGCTATGGTATTTAGAACGGAAAGGTCTCTCAAACTTTGTCAGGTATCAGACCTGCTTGCTATAAGCGGGGTTTAGATTTTTCAAAGTGGATGTTTTAAAAGTATTTAGGAATGTGGAGAAGTAATTTTGTTTCTTCCTAGATATGTCACGGGTTCAAGATGACGAGGTTGGTGATGGCACTACCTCTGTTACTGTTCTGGCAGCAGAGCTACTCCGGGTAAGAACCGCTCAACACTTCCCACCTTGTTGTTGTGAATGATTTTGAGCAGTAGAAGTAATCCAGTCCTTTATCATTTTTATTTGTGTGCTTTTTTTTATTGACAGGAAGCAGAATCTTTAATTGCAAAAAAGATACATCCACAGACCATCATCGCAGGTTGGAGAGAAGCCACCAAGGCCGCGAGAGAGGCGCTGTTGAGCTCCGCTGTGGACCATGGGTTGGTAACCCAGATGGTGCTGGGAAAGTCAGTGCAGAGGATGATGAGAGGCCTGCAGGAGCTTGGTCTCTGCCTTCCCTACCTGCCGAGTTACCTCTAGAGATAGTCTTCCTAACCTCAGACAGCATTGAAATTGACCCTGCACGCCATCCTCCTGTGCTCCAGACAGTGACCCGCCTGCCTCTGCCTCCCGAGTGCTGGGGCTACAGGCCTTTTTCCATGCCTGGTTTATTAGTCTCTTTTTAACCTGGGAGGACAACCCCTGTGTGTCTGGGTATTGATGAAGTTTCCTTAAACTGTCTGCCCTTGGAGAATTGCATTTTTGTAGCTCTGTAATAATGTGGGAAATTTGTTACCCATGGGATATTTCTAGAAGTGGAATTGCTGAGTCTAACATTTTAGTTGACCAAATCTCCAGAAATGATTTCTGTTTGTGCCGTGTGTCACGAATGGTTATTTCCCTGCATTCTTGGCAACATTTGATAGTCTGCTTGCTTATGCCTCACCTGGTTTGGCAGTTTGATTCCAAAATTCCAAAGACAGTATCCCTTGTTTACATGTTTCTTGAGTTTGGTGACATTAGAGGCCTGGTTACAGTCAAGTACTTGGGTAAATTTTGAAAAATAAAAAATAAAGTAGGCTTAATATGTTTGAATAATTTTAATAACGGTTGGGTTTTCTTTTTGTTTGATTGGTTTTAGTTCTGATGAAGTCAAATTCCGGCAAGATTTAATGAATATTGCGGGGACGACATTATCCTCAAAACTCCTTACTCATCACAAGGACCACTTCACTGAATTAGCTGTGGAAGCTGTTCTCAGACTGAAGGGCTCTGGTAATCTGGAGGCCATCCATGTCATCAAGAAGCTTGGTGGGAGTCTGGCAGACTCCTATTTAGATGAAGGTATGTGTGTCTCAGATACGGGAAAGATCTGATCAGCCCTTGAGTCTCAGATACTCATTCCCGCTTCCAGTGATCGTTACTGTTGTCATTTTAATCAGTTTGTAGTGTTGACCTGTGCTTCATACGTTCCACACTATTTCAGCAGCAGCATCTTTTCTAGATCTCACACATGAAATCAATGCCATTATGCTGCTTTTTTTTTTTTTTTTTTTTTTTTTTTTAGGATTACATGTATTTTCCAATACATGAGTCTGGATAAGTCAAATCATTTAATTAGCAGGTTGAGGATAAAGGGGTTTTGTTTGATTGTTTTATTGACTGTGGTGTGGCATTTGTCATTTTTTAAATTAAGAATTTTTAGACTTATAATAAGCCTTATATGCATCACAATGCATGACTGGTGCCCATGAGGTCAGAAGAAGGTACCAGAATCCTCAGAACTGCAGTCAAGATTGCTTGAGCCTCCCTTTGGGAGCTGAGAACCAAACACAGGTCTGCAGCAAGTGTAGACCCGGCTAGCCTGTAACTTGGAGATCTTCCTATCCCTGCCTCCCGAGTGCTGGTGTAAAAGGCATGCACCGCCACCACTCAGCTTGGTTACTTGTTTTTAAAGAGAGTCTTTTGTAGCTAGTGGTGTGGCCTTGAACTTGCTATGTGTGTAACCAAGGATGACCTTAAACTGTTCTGAGGTCACAGATGCACACCACACACCTGCCTGGTTTATGCAGGACGGGGTTGGGGTTCATAGCCTAGGGCTTTGTGAGTGCTAGGTGAGCACTCCTAACTGAGCTCCCTCATTGGCTAATCATGTGCATGTTTGTATGTGACTGGAACTGCTCAGACTGGGAGCCACACTCTGCAGCATCGAGCACTCTTCACGTCTGAACTGTCTCTCCAGCTCATTCTGCTGTTTTAAGAACAGATATTTTCAGTTCTTTTAACTGACAAGTTGTATATGGTTACTATATAGGGATGTGATTTTTGAGGACTAAGTCTTGGGATTGCTGTTTTCTTAAAACTGTAGTTTGTAGGGCATAGATTTTCTGTGTCTTCACATTGTGTTTCCTTGCAAATGAACATTGGCCTGTGTAGGCATTTTCTTAAAAGTGACTTGGAATCCTGGTTTTCCAGTGTGTCCTGTGCCACTTGGCTTATGCAATGATGAAAATATCTTGGTTACATAGATGTATGTACAAGGGCTCTGTAACGTTTGTCTATGGGCCGCCAGGTAGGGGAGGTCCTTGTAACAGAGGCAGTTAGTTCAAGCCCCATTCTTGTCTATGGGCTCTGTGCCAAGGATGGTAATTGGGACTTTAATCCTTTAGTTCTCATCATGATGGTCTGCTGAAGACAAGACCAAGCTGAGGAGAGAAGGGAGCACAACATGGGCTCAATGGGCTAAACATTTCTTAGGTGTCTGAAAGAAGTCTGAAGATGTCAGTGTTAGGTCCTGTGACGTGCCCAGTCCGCAGAGCGAGGCTGGTAATTGGTAGTCTGCCTCCAGTTATACGGCCCTGCACGGGAGTGTCTGGTTGACGCCTTTCCATAAGCGTAAGGACAAGAGCATGACTGGGGCCCGGTTTGCCAGCTGTGTTGTCAGTGATGTTTCTGTTTTACTATGAGGTGGAGTTCTCTTTGTTTTTTAGGGCAAGGTCTGTATTGTGTTGCTCTCCCTAGTTCTGGAATTAAAGGCACACACACACTATGCCAGGCAGGCTAGGCTGAATTCATACCACTATCCTTTGATTTCAGATCTTTACTGCTTCTTTTATCTTGTTGGTTTTTAAGCTAGTAAAAATGAATTTAAATTTTTTACATTACAATCAATAGACTCTGGTCTGTTGTATGTATATGAAACAAAAGCTTCTGGGTGATGTTTTATTTCTCTGCTAATGCTGTAATATTGCCTTGTGTGTATTCTCTTTTAAAATGTTATTCATTTACTTCATTATTAATGTGTGGGTGATTTGCCTACATTAATATCTGTGGCTTGTGCATGTCTGGTTGTCTGGAGATTAGGAGAGGGCATTGGATGGCATATGAATGGTTGTGAGCCACCATGTGGGTGCTGGGAATTAAATCCAGGTCCTCTGCAAGAGCTAGCAGGCAGCAGGCACCCTCATCCATTGAGCCATCTCTCCAACCCCTTATGTTCTCTTTGTCAATTTTTTGTGACAGGGTTTCTCTGTAACAGCCCTATCAGTACTGGAACTCACTTTGTAGATCAGGCTGGCGTCAAACTCACAGAGCTCCACCTGCTTTTGTCTCCTGAGTGCTGGGATTTAAGTTGTGTATCACCACCACCCGGTCCTCAAATATATTTAAATAATGAGTTGATATTTGTGATCACTGCTATAATGGAATAGTTTTTAGATTCTGGGAACATGGTACATTAGGCTTTAAAGTGAATTATTTGAATTAATAATTTGGTAACGCAGATAACTTTGCAGATTTACTAATGCATCCTCAAAGAATTTATTAGCATCTCTGTGTTTGTTGTAGGTTTTCTGTTGGATAAAAAGATTGGAGTAAATCAACCAAAGAGAATTGAAAATGCTAAAATTCTTATTGCAAATACTGGAATGGATACAGACAAAATAAAGGTATATGACTATTTCTTGATATTCTGTTGCTGGTTACTATTAATCAGGAGTCAGGTACATTAAACAGCTTAGACTCTGAAAATAATATACCCACATACACTTTGATATGTATGTTCATAAAAGTGCTGAAGTGCTCTGTTAATAGAACTTTAAAGAGGAGTAAGACTTAACTCTGCCTTTGCTTTCATCTTAGATATTTGGCTCTCGGGTAAGAGTGGATTCCACGGCAAAGGTTGCTGAAATAGAACATGCAGAAAAGGAAAAGATGAAGGAGAAGGTTGAGCGTATCCTCAAGCATGGGATAAATTGCTTTATTAACAGGTCTGTGTTTGCCTGTGCCGACTGTGTTTTCAGCAAACTCTGAAGTTACTCATGAAAATTGTATTTCCTGTCAAACAGTTAGAAACTGTTATACATGATTCACTTACAGTTGCCAGTTGTTGCAGCTCGAGCAGTGAGCTTAAGACACACGCATACTCAGTGGACTGTGAGTTAGATTAAAGGCAAGCTTTGCCTTTATTGTACTGTACTCAGTGTTCATGTGATAAAAGGATAGAGTGCTTGATGTGGTAGATGAAGTGAGGCTAATTAGTTGGGTGTTGTCACTTAAAATGCATCTATGTTAGTCTTGAACACTCACAGTGAGGTAACACCCATCTTCTCATGTGGAGGGAGGCAGGGTGGGAGGGTCGCTAAGGGACTACCAGGCAGAAGAACATGCTGTGTGGATTCACCAGACATGTAGCTGTGGGACAGTGTAGAGCAATGTCATTTCTTGTGGGTACTCAGGATAGGGAATGACTTAAATATGAGGGATTGTTTCTCTTTGGAATGTCTGACAGAATGGCTAGCTGGAACCTGAGAAACTCGTCTTTAGGAGAGACTCTGAGGCAAAAGTAGCTTTATCAAAGATTTGGTAGCATTTCATTGCTGTAGATTACTTGTTTTGGGTTGTTTTATTTTTAATTTCCTCTCTGCCTTTGCTGTGGAGGTTAAGAGAACAACTTGTGGGGATGGGATCTCTCATTTGAGACCGAAGGATTGAGCATACATACATCTGGCCGGTACTTTTGTTTCCGGCATAATGATATGCTTGCAGGTTTTGTATTTCAATGTAATTCATCATGAAAAGTGGCCATTTTGAGCATAAAGTTCCTATGTGTTTTGTTTGCAGACAGTTAATTTATAATTATCCTGAACAGCTGTTTGGTGCTGCTGGTGTCATGGCTATTGAACATGCAGATTTTGCAGGTGTGGAACGCCTAGCTCTTGTCACAGGTATGAAAAAAGCCATTAGTTTCTAGCAAGTATAATTACCATTCTTGTCATATGTTTAGCATTGCTGTGCAATGCATTGTTGAGAGTAAGAAGAAACCCCTTAAAATAAGGGTATATAAGTAGTTACATTGTTTGAAGAATTATATTGACTAATTGATTTCGTGTGATTGGTGCATATGAGCCATGGTTTTCATGTGGAGATAACAGGACAGCTTCAGAGAGTTGATTCTCTCTTACCTTGTAAGTCTTGGTCTCAAACTCAGGTCATGTGGCTTGGTGACAAATGCCTTTACCTGCTGAACTATCTTACTGGTCCCAGTAGCAGTAGTAGTAGTAGTAGTTGTTGTTGTTATTGTTTTCTCTTAGAAATACTTGGTACTCAAGTTTCTCAGATTTTAAATTTTGGGGGTGTGGAATGAGATATTTGATAGTAGTGAGATAACTTGGACACCCAAGTCTAAATATGAAATTTATTTTTATTAGATATGTATGCCTTATACACAAAGATATCTTACTCAATATTTTTGGTTGGCTTTCATTCTTACTGGTCCATTGCATGGACTCCAATACAGAATTTTCTACTTCTGTCATTTTTGTTCTTTAAAAGTTGTACATTTAGGTTTTAGTTTATTCATGTTTGAAGTGTATACCAAATTACATAAATCCTAGGTTTGCCGTGGCTGTACACTTCTTTTTGATGTTGTGTTTTAAGACACCTAGTTCTTTCACACAAATATAAAGACTAGCTTTCTAGGCATAGTCTAAACAAATTAGAGCTTAAAAAGAGGAGTCTTGAGTCTTAACTAGTCTGCTTTGCTGAATATTTAGTAAATACTGCGCCTCTCAGCGCGAGTGAAGTATGGACCTTGTGTTTTCTAAGTTAATTTTCTGAAAGGTAAAATTGTTTAAATAAGTAAATCAATCCAAAAATAGCCTCAAACTCAGAGAGATCCATCTGCCTCTGCCTTCCTAGTGCTGGTATAGGGATGTGCCACCATGCCCAGCTGAGAGCAGGTTTTAACCCTGTAGTGTGTTTTATGTTTGTAGGTGGTGAGATTGCCTCCACTTTTGATCACCCAGAGCTGGTGAAGCTTGGAAGCTGCAAACTTATCGAAGAAGTCATGATCGGAGAAGACAAACTCATCCACTTTTCTGGAGTTGCCCTTGGTGAGTGACTATAAATTTTGGCTTAAATACTTAGGTCCTTGTTGGCCTCTTGGAGCAAAAGAAAGGTTATCATAGTGCTAAAATACATTCTGTAGGTGAGATGGTGAAGGTGCTTGGTGCCAAGATTGATTACCTAAGTTCCTTCTCTGGGACACACCGATTTCCCCTCACTACCATGCATGCGTTACCACACACACACCCAAAGATTAATATGTGGAGTGGATGTATAAGGGCAAATATAAAGTAAATTTTGAGAGGGCCCATTTTATGTTTTTTTTTTCAGTATCTTGAAGTCTTAAGTTTATATTTGCTGTGCCTTTTTGAAATGTGTACATTTAGCATAGATGTTTCTTGGTAACTTGAGAGTACTTATGAACATAGAGTTTTGCAGAGAAAGTATTGCATGGTAGAAGACACCAGCTACCAAAACCCAATAGTCATGCATACATAGATAATGAAATGCAAATGGCTGTGGTATGTGACTACATGGAAACTGACATGAATATTATATTTAATGTTAGGAGAGGCATGTACCATTGTACTTCGTGGTGCCACTCAGCAAATTTTGGATGAAGCTGAAAGGTCTTTGCATGATGCCCTTTGTGTTCTTGCCCAGACTGTGAAAGATCCTAGGACAGTTTATGGAGGAGGTAAGCATTGGGAAGTGTTAAATACTCTTTTTCGTGACTTGTAGAAACTAATCATGTTAGCCTTTGACTTTAAAATGACAAACCTCAAGGGAAGTCATTTTATTGTTTTGGAGACAACAGAGCATATAATAATAGTTTTTGGGTTTTAATTTGTAGGTTGTTCTGAGATGCTGATGGCTCATGCTGTGGCAAAACTTGCCAGTAAAACCCCAGGAAAGGAAGCTGTAGCAATGGAGTCTTTCGCCAAAGCACTGAGAATGGTAACTAGAGGGAGATCTGAACCCATAGAAGTTGATGATTTTCAACTGAGTACATTTTTCTGTCCTAGACAAAAAGATGTTGTTTCCTTACCTTTTACAGAACTGAAATGGTTCACAATGTTTTATCGTTTGATTCTACATTGCATACTCAGTCATGAACAGTCATTAAGAAATAGGCAGGCATGGTGTGTGCCTACAGACAATTACTAGTCCTTGGTGCTTACTTTCATTTCCATATTGTAGTTGCCAACCATCATAGCTGACAATGCGGGCTATGACAGTGCAGATCTGGTGGCACAGCTCCGAGCTGCTCACAGTGAAGGCCGCACAACCGCTGGACTGGGTGAGAGATAAGTGGGCTTTTGTGTCGTCGGTGTTGAGAGTAATTCTCACTTAAGTTTACACACACAAACCCATGTGTTACGCAGTTGGTCATGATCCCCTTGTCCTCTTCCACTGAACTCTCCTGCTTCGATGGGTGGAGGGTTATTTACTTGCGCGAAGGTACTGATTGGAGGCTGTGCCCTGGGGAATGTGATTTATCCTTCTCTAGCAGCCATTAGACCTGTGGGCTGGGGGGTGGGACCTTCTGAGCCACTCTGCTCTCTGATGGACTGTTGCAGTCTTAGGTCTCAGACCGGAGGGCGTGATCTGCTTGCTCTGTTGAGGGCTGAGCACTCAGCATCGTAATTTCTGTGCTCACTGCCGCCCGCTGCAGACTGAAGCTTTTCTGAGTAAGGCTTCAGGCAGCGCTAATCCATACACACAAACGTTTAGATGGCAGTTGGACACGGTGTCCTTTTAGTAAAGCAACAGTAGTCCGTTCCCTCTTTGTTCAATAAGGGTTTGGTTTTTGTTTTTTTGTACTTTTAAAAAGCATCTTAATGCTAACTATAAAAGATGGCAGTGCTAATTGCTTTTATACTTACTGTGTATGGGGGATATTAGTTTTAATTTTGTGTTCATAGCGTTGCTTTAAGAGTTACAAAGCTGTTTGGGATATGTGAGTAGGGCTTATTTTTAAGAGTAAACTCTTAAAACACAATGTTAGTTTCTAACTTCATGGCAAACGTCAGTTTTGAATATAAACCTCTAATACATAAAGTACTTAACAAGATACCACACGTGGGCCTGGTGCCTGCAGAAGCCTTCAAGTAGATTTAGAGACAGCTGTGAGCCTCCACACAGGTGCTGGCGATCAAACCAGGCTCCTTTGGAAGAGCAGTTAGTGATCTTTCTCAACCTCCGAGCCATCTCTCCTTCCCCTTTTTATTGAGTCAAGGCTTCACCATGTTGCTTTCCCTGGCTTGGAGCTTATTACGTAGACCATGCCAGCCTTGAGCTCAATTCCACCGGGGATTAAAGGTTGGGGGTGTGTGTGTACATCTGTGTGCATTCCACAGAGCTAGCATTTGGAGGTCAGAGGACAGTTTGTACGAGTTGTATGTCAGTCCAAAGGATCGAACTCATGGTCATAATGCTTAGAGAGGCTAGAAACTTTACCTATGAAATCATTTTCTAGCTTGCCCCTCTAAAAGTTTCTGTTTGATATTGCTGCCCTCTGATAATAGAGATCATTAGTGTTGCCTCCCCCTCCCCGAAGTGGGCGTGTGTGTGTGTGTGTGTGTGTGTGTGTGTGTGTGTGTGTGTGTGTGTGTGTGTGTGTGTGTGTGTGTGTGTGTGTAACACACAGGAGTATATCAGTCCCTGTGTGCACACTAGAGGAAGATGTAGGCTGCCTACACCCCTATTGCTTTCCACCTTACTGCCCTGAGTCAGGGTCTTACTGAACTGGAAGTTTGCCATTTTTGCTAGATTGAATGGGGTCAGGGAGCTCTTGGTGGAGACAGCAATGCTTATCTCCCCCTTCATACCCCCCAATTCCTTTCATCCCAGTGAAGGTTTTAGATGCACTTGGCAGCTGTGCCTAGCTTGTGTGTGTGTGTGTGGGAGGGGTGTGCGAGCTTGTTGAGGGCTCAAACTCAGATCCTTAGGTTTTCAGGGTGCAAGCATTCATCCACTGAAATGTATCGTTAGCCCACTTTTAAGGTGTTTGTGCATTCGTGTGTAAATGCATCCTAAGAGACCAGAAGCAGTTGTGAGCTGCCCCACGTGGATGATGGGAACTGCACTGAGGCTGTTTCCAAGAACAGCCTAAGCACTGAGTCATTGATCTAATCCCTGCAGTTTTAAAAGTTGTAAAAGATTTTCTGGGAACCAGCATTGGACTGAACCAAGCCTTCTGAATGTGTTTCTCGTTTAGGCCTGGGGAGTCTATAGGACCTATGACAGTGGAACCAGTATTTATCTGTAGTGCACAAACAGACTTTGCGAGCCCATTCCCCATGGAGGGCTACTCTCTCAGCCTAGCTATACTGGGCGCCCTCCCCCAAATGATATAACAGACTTTGATGATCCCCCATGAAGGGCTTCACCCTCCCTGGGGAGTGGATTTGAGGGTAGGATCAGTGGGGGACATGGAAGGATGGGAAGGAGAGGGAACTGGTATTGGTAGCTAAAATAAGATTGCTTCTACATTAAATTTTAAAAATAGACAAAGGGAAAAAAAAGATTTTCTTTGAGTGCTTTTATAGACTTTATCTGCTAACTATATCAGGTAGTTAGATGTAGTAACAGGGTTAGTTTTATTACAAGTTTTTAGAGATGCTTTAATACCTTATTGTTAAATGGCACTTTGCTGCTTGTTCAGATATGAAGGAAGGTACCATTGGAGACATGGCAATACTGGGTATAACCGAGAGTTTCCAAGTGAAGCGACAGGTCCTCTTGAGTGCAGCTGAAGCAGCAGAGGTGATTCTCCGTGTGGACAACATCATCAAAGCAGCACCAAGGTACGCACACGCCAGAGCTCAACTCCAGGGAGATTGTGCAAATGATCTAAAGTAAGGGAAGGCATGGGCAGCCCGAGTGGGAAAGAGCCAGGCTTAGGAAGGCTGGAGCTGCGGCTGCCGGCTGTCTCTTTACCAGGGTGAGATCTTACAGCTGTCCTTCCCGGGTACACTTCCACGTAGACACATGTGGGTGGTTCTGTTTTTAGACATTGGTCCTGCTGTGTAAGCTGGACTGGCTTCAGATTCAGAATCCTCTTCCTGAGCTGAGATTACAGGTGGTCGTCCCCACACATGGTTCACACAGGCATTCTCAAGTACCCATTGTGCAAGGACCCTTTATAGGTTCCTACTCTAGAAACGTAAATTCTCTTAGAATGCATTCACACCACAGGTGCTTCATTCTGTTTCCTGTTGCTGTGCTATGAAAGTCTGCTGTAAGAGTTAGAAGTCTCAGTTGATGCTGAGCTGGCTCTGTTGCTTTTGGGTGGGAGAAGAGGAATGCCAAGTGAGTGGCATCCAAGATGCCAGGTGAAGTAATAGGAAGAAGACGCGAAGGCCAGAATGATCTGCTAAGTAGGTCAAGGAAGGTAGCTATTCACTTTAAAACCTGGACTTCAGCAACATTAGTCTTGACATGGAAGTGTCAGTGCAGTGGCAGAGATCAAATGCATTCTGTAATTAAGTTCAGAAGAGACAGAGGGTTTTGAGGTGTCATGTGTATCTGTGATGTCCAAATAGCTAAACGGAAGAGTGTTAGATATTTAAAGTTCTGTAATTTTGAAACTTCTGAGAATTCCTGCGTTTGCTGGTTTACTGTCTCTGAATCTGACATACCAGGGATTTTTGAAGTACTCATTTTATTTCCCCACTATATAAATCTAAAGTGTGTGTGTGTGTGTGTTTACGTTTACATACATATATACTTTGTTTAAAAATTTTTTACAAGCTGATATATGAAGTTAAAGTGTTCACTGATGTTCCCGCTATCTCTTTGCAAAAGATTCACTGTCTGGTCGCCAGACAATTAGAGATACACGGCATGATTGTTGGCATATGAAGGCACAGTCTACCCAGACTCCAACTTGGCAGTAGGTCGTTCAGTGGCTTTGTTTGATGCAGTCTGGCTAATTTGGTGAACTTTTTTAATACTTAGATTACTGAAAAACATGAATTAAGCCATGTGGTAGTATATTCCTTAGGGAGACTGAGGCAGGAGGATTGCAACTTCAAGTCTAGTCTTAGGATATACTGCAAGATCTGAGCTGGGCTTCAGGAAAAAAAAATATAAAAGAAAGCAAACCGTAGGGCAATCTTTTTGGAGACTGTATGTTTATTAAATTGGCAGTTAAGTCCCTGTGGAAGTGGAGCAACAGACATTTTGGTTAAGACAGGTTATAGCTCTATTTGTAGGCAGTGAAAAACTAGTTAGAAGCATGCTTTTGATTTTTTACTTCTTTTTCTTGATTGTATGATTTCTCCTTACAGGAAACGTGTCCCTGATCACCACCCCTGTTGAGCATCCCCATTTGCTGTTGCTCTCTGGACCAGTTCATAGTGAAGTTACATTTGACAGACTTCAGCGTTTTAAAGAAGACTGTGGAATCTATGTGTCCATGATAGCCTTAAGTTTGAACATTTAGCTGACCTTCTGTTTTAAACGTGGGTCTAATTTATTTGCTATTTCATTTCCCATACAATTCAGTTGATTTACAAGTTCATTTCTCAGACTGTGTATTAAAATAAAAATCCAGTTACTTAAAGTAGCCCTTAATGTCTTACTGACTGATTTGTATATATCCTGCTGTTTCAAAATGTACTTAATGGAACTGATTGTATTTCGGTGTGGAGTTGTTTCAGCCTAATCGATTATTGACCTTATTCTTTTATTAAATAATTACCTTGGTAATGTCCCAGTCAGATTTAAACATGGACACATTAGTCTTTTAGCTTTGTTCATGAGCCATATGGGTATTCCGTCATAAGTAGCTTTTACTGCATGTTAACTTAGATAGAAGTGCCATCTGGTACAATAATGATATAATTTTATATACGTACCCTTTCTTATTTACATTAGATAAAAATTCCAATTTCTGTTCAAGTTTGAAAAAGTAATACTTAACTGTCCACTTCTTTCTGGTACCCTACTGGGATAACATTCTCTTAAGGTAAGGGGTGTACTTAAACTTCAATATGATTATTTTGTTAGGGGTTTTGTTTTGATGAGGAAAGGAAATGAGCATAGATATGTACTGGGTTTAATTTAAATATGACTTAGATCTGGAAATTAGGGTATTGCAGCATGCACAGAATTTAAGAAGGCTCAAAAGTGTAGGCGTTCCCCTGGTATCTTTAATTTCAGAATGCCCTCATAGTGGTAGGAGGAGGGGGCTTTCAAAGTTGATACCAGAGGCCTAGGAAGTGGCACAATCGGAAAAATGTTTGTCACACACGCATGGGGACCTGAGCTGGGGTCCTCAGCATGTGATACACACGTAAGTCCAGCACTAGAGAAGCAGAATGTGCAGGAGCCCTGGACTTAGCTAGTCACAGCCAACTTGTGCCATAAGTGGGCTTCGGATTGAGCCAGAGACTCTTACAGAGTGGAGATGCCATCTTGTAGTCTCCATGTGTGGATATGTGTTGACACGTGCATACAAATACACAGGTTTGTGTGCACGAGTGCCTTGCTTACATGTGTGTATGTGCCACATGCATGCCTGAGGAGGTCGGGGAGGGCGTGAGATTCCCTGGAACTAGAGTTAGGAGTGGTTGTTAGCCACTATGTGGGTGCTTGGGATGAACCCAGTTAACTCCTGACAATTCCTGGGATTGCTGGTTTACTGTCACTGAATCTGACCTAGGGTCAGATTTTTAAGTACTCCTTAATTCCCCACTGTGAATGTAAAATATTATGGATGTATGAATGGATGGATGTGTGTATGTACATGCACACACATGCACTGGCTTTCTTATGGTTTCTTTTATAACACCTAGACCCACCAGCCCAGGGTGGCACTTTTCCCAGTGAACTGGGTCCTTCCACATAAACGGTAAGTCAAGAATATGGCCCACAGGCCAGTTTGATACGGCATTTTCTATATCCCCTCTAGCTTCTCTAGCTTCTGTCTCTAGCTTCTGTCAAATTGACAGAAAACTAGCCAGCCCAGGTTGGATACCACTCATTTGTGAAAACTAAAATTCTACATGTGGAGTTCTGGAAGAGTAAGGAGTCGATAGCTTGTCTAGCTTCATCCCCTCTTTGGGATGGTCTGCAAGAGTTTCCCCAGTCCAGTCCTTGGGGTTTCCAGGCTTAAAACCCAGGGGTGAAATAGTTACTGTTCGGTGCTTTAGCCATTCTTCCTTATTTGCTGACAGGTGATCTCCACACCTTCCAGACCGCCAGAAGCGCCAGACGTAAGTGCCACATCCAAGTGATGGGAAACCTACAGTGAAAACATTCTCAAGCAGCAAAATCAGCCATGCTTGAGAAAGGGGGGGGGGGGGGAGGCTGTTGCAGGCTCCCTGATTTAGACCGAAACCATTTGGCTACAGTCCAAATGCTGGTGATTTAAAGTTGGCTGCAGAGCGGTTAGTATACTCAGTGAGAACTCTGAGGTTAGTTAGCTTCAACTCAAGGCTGCAGATCATGCTGGGGAAGATAGATAGGTAGGCCCATTCATCTGGAGGGAAGACTGCTCACAAAGCAATCTCTAAAGTGCTATAACGGATGCTTGGTAGACAAATTCTTGTTTGCAAATTGTGTTTACTGTCAGCTGAGTGTGGCTTCAATCACCCCCGAATAAGGGTGGACTATTATAGGAAGCCTGCCTTCTAGGCATCTAGTAGAAGTGTGGTCTCATTAATAGAATATAGCTGTCCCTGTGGGTGTGGACATACTTCGTGGTTAAAGACACCTGGTGGTCTGACGGCTAGGCTAGGCTGCCCTGCTCTGCATGGGAAGGTGGTGACAGGGTTATGAGAGTCTCTGGGACCTCTGACTTGGCCAGCGGTATTTCTGGAAGAGTTCTGTCATTTCAGAACTGTGCTTGTGAAGGTCAGATCCTCCCCAATCTCTAAAAGCTCAGTGTGGTTTGTCTGATTGGGATAACATCTTGTGTCCTTGTCTTTTGGAAAGGTGATTATTAGATCATATGCTGACCGCAATTTGGAGTTTATATATTGTATTAAAATCTCAATTTATATATCTAAATAATGCCCCAGTACAGAGGTTTGTAGACTGACTACAAAAGACCCTATGAAAAAAGCCCAGACAAGCTGTGCTAAAAGGCCAGCATGTCTACACATAGGGCAGACCCCCATTCGGACTGCAAGTGCTGTTGTCCCTGAACTGACTTTCAATAGATGACTCTGGAAGTCTGGAAGCATGGCTTGCTCTTTTGCTGTGGAGACCAGCCTGGAATCACAGGGCTGCATTGGGAAGAAAGGCTTGGCTTTCCAGATGATAGTAAACTTGAGACCCGAGGTCAGACCTCAGAGGAACCACCATCCCCGTGAAGGTGGGAGAGGCCCTAGGCTCTCTGTGGTCTTTCCAGTGGGTGCTGGGAAGTGAGGGCTCTGTAATAGCAGCTTCAAATCAAGATTGACTCAGTAGAGGCCCCTTTCCAGGGTCCAAATTAGGAACCGTACAATGATACTGTTCATGGTAAAGAAAGAGATTGGGGGGGGGTAAGAGACAGACCACCTGAGCATCTGATAATTTTTATTTTAACAAATGCCATATTTGAAGCACTCACCGGCCTCAGGTCCTGCCCTTTCTGCATAATGGAGGGAGCCAAAGACCCTCCACTCGCCAGTGTTTCAAATAGCTTATTTGAAGAAGCTGCTTCAGGAGTGACAGGCGCTCACACCTTGCGCTAGGAAGAGCTTTTCTTTTCAATAGTCCTTTACCCGGGCCCCTCCCCTCCCCTGGCTCTGCATCGGCCCTGGGATGAGCCCGCACTCCGGTCCACGCTAATGAGGTGTCTTCAGACCTGTGGGGCCCTCGTTGACTGGCTACAACCGAAGCTACTGAGGAGCTGGGAAGTGGGAGGGGCGCAGGTGGCTCTCGAGTCTTCCTGGGCCAGTGCGTATCGCCTAGCTTTTCTGGGCTCAGGCTCTGGGGTCTCATCTGCCCATCTCCCAACACGGCGCACACCTTTGCCCACCTTGGGGGCATTTCTGCAAGGATTGTGGTCATAGATAACCAGCTTCAGGTTAGTCAGGTGGGCCAGGCTGGGGAAGTGGCGGATACTGTTCCGATCCACGTCGATCACCTCCAGGAGGGGCATGCGAAGCAGCACTGGGGGGAAGTCGGCCAGCTGGTTGCCTGAGAGCCAGATGGTCCTGAGCTCGCGCAGGCACCGGAGCTGGCCGGGCAGCAGCCGCAGGGCGTTGGAGCCCGCATGCAGGGTCTTAAGGAGGCTCAGCTCACACACCACATCGGGCAGCTGGGTGAGGCAATTGGCCTCAAGCCACAGGGTACGGAGGTTCTGGAGCAGGCTGAGCTCAGCCGGGAGGTCACAGAGTTTGTTATTGCCCAGGTAGAGGATGCAGAGCCGCTTCAAGGAACACACCACCTGGGGGAGAGCTTTGAAGTTGTTGAAATCCAAGGCCAGGATCTGCAGGTTCTGCAGCCGTGCCAGGTCCGGAGGCAGACTGTGCAGGTGGTTGTCGCTGAGGTAGAGCTTTACCAGCTCGGTGAAGGCGCACACCCGCAGCGGGCAGCGGCGCAGCTGCCTCCCACTCAGATCCACCATCCGGTCCAGCGGCATCTCCCTGAGGTCTCCCACCACGTAACTCTGGCAGCGATCGGCGGGGACTAAGGCCACGAGGGCGCGGATGGTGTTCCCCATGTGAAGCCCACTGGCGCCCGGCCACCCTCTGCCCACCGACCCTGCCAAGGAGTGGAGCCGGCTCGGCTAACTGCTCTGGGTCCTTTGTGCCTCCCCTTTATAACCCGGGATTCTGTGACATAAGCCAGTCACTTTGACAGTGGAAAGTGCTCTTGATAGCGACTTGAGTGTCCGGTGACAGGCAGGGTCTGGGAGGCCTTGTTCAACTCACATACTTGCTTTAACCTCTTACGCCCTGGTCGCCTTTGTCTACTCTTCCCTAATGAAAATACTGAGATAAAGGTAGAAAAGTAGAAAACGAGAAACACCGGTATTTCCACTCTGCAGATACAACTGTAAATACTGGAATGCATAGTCCTCTCTCCTTTTTGCTACAAGTGATAATTTTTTAAATTACACATGAATTAAAAATAATCACATCGTGGAAGTATTTTATACTTGCGGGTATAAAATATACAATTATTTTAAATACTTGCATAGTACTCCTTATTCGTGTACAGTGATTTAAACAGTTCTTTATATTGGAGTAATAGGTCACTGCAAACACCCGTGTAAATACAGATGTGAGGGCCCCAGGGCTGGGAGATTGATAGCTCAGTAGCAGAGAGCTTACCTAACCCAAACAAGGTCCTGTTTCAGTCCCGAGCATGGAAAAAGCAACAACACACTGCTAAGTCTTCCAGGACACATCCTTGAAAGTGCTGAGTCAAAGGTCTTCATCCTTTGGAGGTCCCCCCCCCCCCCAGCTCCAGCAAACCTGGATCAGGACGTAATCGGAAGCAATGACTTCCAGTACTTTAAAAAGGTACCTCGGAACCAGCCATGATGGCACCCGCCTTTAATTCCAGCAGTCCACAAGCAGAGGCCAGGGGGAATCTCTGTGAGTTTGAGGCCAGCCTCATCGACGGGAGTGAGTTCCAGGACAGCCAGGGCAACACAGAGAAACCCTGTCTCGAAAAAACAAACAAGAACCCACTCAATGGGAGAATGCTTGCCTAGCAAAAGCAAGGCCCTGGGGTCTGTCTCCAGCCGAAACAGAGAACAAGGAAAGGGAGACCAGACTAGCCTTCTAAAGCACAGATTAATAAGAGTGCAACCTTAGGTTCAATGTGCCAGGTGCTTCTAAATGCCTGTCAAATGCACCTCCTCTGCAGTAATGTCTGTTTAAGGTAGTTCCTGGATCTCATTCTGTGGACCAGGCTGGCCTCGAACTCAGAGCTCAGCCTGCCTCTGCCTGCTGAGTGCTGGGATTAAAGGCATGTGTCACCATATGTTGGGTGTGTTACTTTGAACGTAATTGGCCCCTGTAAACTCACAGGGAATTGTGGTAGAACGTTATTTTCAGGTGTATTACTTGTGTTTGTGCGGCATTTGTTTAACTCTGTGAAGCTGTGATTCTTTGCCTGTCTAAAACACCTGATGGTCCTAATAAAGTGAGGCAGGAGTGAGGATGGGCGGGGCTGGAAGGCAGAGAGGATACATAGAGAAACGAGGACGAGGAGGACCACAGGGACCAGCCGCCCAGCCAGCCATGGGGTAAGGAGGAAAGTGAGATTACAGAAGAAAGATAAAAGCCCAGCGAGGGATAATTCAAGTTAAGAAAAGTTGGCGAGAAACAAACCAAGCTAAAGCTTGAGCTTTCATAACTAAGACTAAGCCTCCGTGTGGGAGTTGGATGGCAAAAGAGCCAAAAAGCCAGGAGTACCAAACATCCACAGCAGGGGGTGGTACTGTGAGGAGGTGTGGGCTTGTTGGAAGAAGTCTGTCTCTGTGGACCTGGGCCTAGCTTAGTTGCTCCTGCTGTCTGTGGGTCGAGGTGTAGGACTCTCCGCTCCTTGTCCAGCACCGTGTCTGTCTGCACGCCGACACGTCCTGTCCTGATGCTGATCCACTAACCCTCTGAACGGTAAGCTACCCAATTAAACGTTTTTCTTTATAAGAGTTGCCATGGCCGTGGGGTCTCTTCACAGCAGCAGAAACCCTAAGACAGAAATTGGTACCAGGGGCGGGGTGATGTGTCTGACCCCGGTTTTGTTTGGAGTATGGAGTGATATGGATAGAAAGGTAATTGAACACATTAAGTGCTACTTGATGGGTCACACTAGAAGGGAGGCAGAGGACAGTGCTGCCGAGTGATTTGATGAACTGTGGGTGACCAGTAACTTGGCTTAAGAGGTTTTGGAGGAGAAGAATTCTATTATGTTGCCTAGAAATCATTCTTGCGGTATTTTGGTATGGCATTGAATTGATGAAGAGTATGGCTGCCTATTGCCCTTGCCTGAAAAGTCTGCCTACAGCTAAATTGAGTTTTTGATTAATTCCATTGGCAGAGGAAATGTCAGAACAGCCTAGTATAGACCCTGTCTTGTGGTTATTAGTGTTAACGCAATTAAAGATCTATAATGGAAAGGAGCAAGCTGCTCAAGTAACAATGCAAAATGTACAATTTGGGGAGAAAGGGGCTTATTTGACTTAGAAACCTTGCTGTTCATTATTGAAGAAAATCAGGGCAGGACCCTGGAGGCAGGAGCTCATGCAGGGGCCGTGGAGACGGCTGCTCACTGGCTTGCTTCACGTGGCTTGCTCAGCCTACCTCCATTTAGGTAATTAATTGAGAAAATGCCTTACAGCTGGACCTCACGGAGGCGGTTCCTCAGCTGAGGCTCCTTCCTCCCTGATGACTCTAGCTTGGGTCAAGTTGACACACACCAGCCAGTATAGAGCGCTTTTGAGTTCTGACCACTAGGGCTTGGAGAGCTGTCTCAAAGGTTAAGAGCACCCGCTGCCCTTTTGAGGGGGGCATGCCAGTTAGTTCCGTGCCAGCCCTCGTGTCCAGGGTTCCAACTGCCTTTAAGTCCAGCCCTGGGGGATCCAGCACACTCTTGGCCTCTGTGGGAACCTACACACCCTTGTGTATGTGTGAACTCATGTGAGCGTGTGCGCGCGCTCTCGCGCGCGCACACACACACTATTAAAAACCCTGTGTACTAGAGAAATGAGGCAGAAGTGTTTAATGTCTCCCTGCCACTGCTTTTGGTTGTAAAACAGGAAGCAGGCTCCTCACCTTCCTCCATACTCTCTTCCCCATCCACTGGCCTCACGTTGTCACCTGGGGTGACCAGAAGCCAGCAAGTATGTGGAAGCCACATGGTAAAGCTGCACTTAAATTCTGGGAACAGAACGGTCCCCTTCCCATAACCCTATGACTCACTCAACAACCCAGTGATTAACCACGCCATCGAGATCTTGTTATATGACCTCATTATATTTAGGTAACTACTAAAAACAAACAAATCTATATGAATTGATTTGGAAAGGTGCTTAGGAGGAAGCTGGGTAGGAAACAAGCAAGATTGAGAACAATTCCTGGGACTTCCAGCTGTGAAAACTCATGCATCCGTCCTTGTGTGTGAGTAAATGTTGCTCTTGAGTGATCGTGATTGTAAGAAATCTCCCTGGAGGTTTAGGATGATATAGAGATGCTAAATTCCCCCATTTACACCCTTAAGTGCTGTGTGATTTTTCCTTTTTTTTTGCGGGGTGGGGGGGTGAGAAGTGGGGGGGGATTCAAGACAGGGTTTCTCTGTAGCTTTGGAGCCTGTCCTGGAATTAGCTCTTGTAAGACCAGGCTGATCCTGAACTCAGAGATCAGCCTGCCTCTGCCTCCTCCTGAGTGCTGGGATTGAAGGGGAGAGCCACCACCGCCCAGCCTGATTTTGGTTTTTAAGAGCATATATTAAAACTAAAGCTTGGTTGGGCATGATGGTTCACACCTGTCTTTAGGAGGTTGAGGCAGAATTGCTGTAAACTTAAAGGCAACCCAGACTACATAATGAGTTTCCAGCCAGCTTGGTCTGCAGGGTGTGAGCCTATTTAAAATAATAATGATAATAATCATAATTAAAATGAATCCAGAAAACAAAGAACCCAGCCCAGCAGCTTGCCTGTTTAGAAAGAGCTGTGGGCTTGTGGGGTGGCCTCCCAGATCACCTGTGAGCCTCCTCCACCACCGTCAGTGTAACAGGCGCAGGTCAGGAGCGCCCTCGCAGTGATTCTACGGGGTGGCTTGGGGAACCTGTCACCACTCATTTCCTACTCACAGGGTTATGGCCAAAGCTGGTGGCTGTGGCGCTGCTAGACTTAGAAAGGCCAAGAGCTCTTATCATGCCCTCTCCTCGATGTTTGTGTTATTATAACACGTCATCTCTCCACAAGTGCTCCCCTTTGCTCTATATTTAGCTTACTCAGTGGTGACCACAAATGGTCATGAGGCAGCTCGTCCCCACGGTCCCGAGAAAAGATAGCAATAGGAAGATGGCCGCCGGCTGTTATTTCCTGAGCACCCAAGTGCTAAGCACAGTGCCCAGTGCTTATAAAATCCCTACACAGATGAGTGTTTCACACCACTCCCGGTAAGAAGAACCTGTGCCTTTGCAATGGTATCTCATACTTACCCAGCACTAATGCTACAGGGTCCTGGGGACAAACAACAGGACCCCCATCTCACTGGGGGCCCCGTCCTGGCAGGGAATCTATCAGGGTGGGAAGGTGGAGCGCCTTGCCTGTAGTCTGTGCTCCAGTACACAGGACTTCTGTTCAGCACCTTTACACCAGCCCCCGAGTGAAGGTGGCTGGCTCGGCGTTAAGTCCCTTGCTCTGTGCATAGTCTGACTGCTTATTTGTGTGTTGTCACCCGGTGGCACTGGCTGCTGCCCAGGCCCTGGGCTGTCTCTTCTGCAGAACAGACTTTGTTTTCGCTTCATCAGGCCCCTTGCTTATTCCTGTCAGCTGAGTCTGGGCGGGAGGGAAGGTTGGTATTCATTGCTCCACCCTAGCCGAAAAGGATGGCTGGAGCTGAGTTTTCAGATTCAGTCACAGGGAGTGGATATTTTCCAGTCCCACGATTTGAGTCACAAAGTGAGTAATATGAGTTGTGTGCTGACAGCCAGAGAGATCCACAGTGCCTCCAGGGCTGGCCTGGGGTGCCCCTCTCCTCCTCCTCCCT